ATATGCACTATACAATATAAATCCATTTTTATATGTAACTAGCATTGCCCGCGGCTCCGCCCGCGGCTTCGCCCGCGTTTCGATGACCAAAAACGAAATTTTTAGGTTTTACATATTAGTATACTCTTACATTGCAGTTTTTGTATTTTTTCTCAGAAATGAGATAAGAAGTATCCTATATGTTGACCCGGATAACCAGCTATCACCATACCAAATATCATCAAAATCCCTCTAGTGGTTTTTCTGTGATGCGTTAACAGACAGACAGACAAACAGACAGACAGTCAGAAAAAAATTCTAAAAACTACAGATTCGGCCTCTATATCGAAAATAATGACTGTCTCAATAAGATTTTCCAAAATATATTTAAAGTACAGATTCGACAGAGTTAGAATTTTATTATTTATGTATATAGATTTATTAGACTGGCTGACCGTTGCTCCGCTTGATGCGCTCTTAGAAGAGACTTTTTTCAGACTACAGATATCATCATACTGGTAGATAATTTTTAAACGTTTTTTAATTACAGCTTGTAACTTTCCTCTTTCTCTTGGTGAAATCTGTATAAAAATCCATAGAGTCTTTTCTGTAATTTCTGAGGTTAGCCCAAAAAAAAGTTCATTTTTAACCCCTGACGCAAAAACCACGAGGTGTTATAAGTTTGACGTGTCCGTGCGTGTCTGTCTGTGGCATCGTAGCTCCCGAATGGATAAACCGATATTGATATTTTTTTGTTTGAAAGGTGAATTAGTCGGGAGTGTCCTTAGCTATGTTTGATGGAAATCGGTCCAAGATGGTCTGAGGTTTTTCAAATTTTTAATTTATGTTGTTCAATTTCTAGTATAGAAAAGGATCTTATTCCATAAACTATCTTTAAAATGGATAAAGAGAACATTAAACTTTATAGCGGGCAAATCCCTACAGTTAAACATAATATTTAAAATAACAATAAGTGATAAGATATATTTAATTACAATTTCAAAGTTCAAGGTTCTAACGTTGATACAAGTTTAACATGAACGTCAGTGTACTATGGTCCTTATTTCGAAATATTACTTCCTTACTAATTATATCACAAATGCGTTAATATGTCTATTTGTTGTTTTGTAATTTTGTCCTTCTTTCACGCAATAACGGAGCAACAAATTGACGTGATTGAGCGTGCATCAAATGCAGTGTCACAGTTTAACATAACCGTAAAAATATCAAAGGCCAAAATATTGACGTAAACTGTACTCCTCCCCACCAAACCATCGTGCCACTGACCTTTCAATACATACACTCGACTCGTTTTATTCATACAAGAGTTTTTTTTGTTATTATAATAATGTGAATAAAAAAAATGTGTCAGAATCCTATACTCAAACTCATAAACTTGCCCCTTTTTGTACAATATTGTACATACTTTTTATTATTTATCAAGCCTTTTGACACGTGAATCCCGTGCGTATACTACGCCAAGTCACAGGGATAAATGATTGCAATTCACTTCATGAGATAGAGACGTTTGCCCCAGTTGAAGGGTATCTGCGAGCTCAAGGTTTTAGGATAACGTTCAGAAGTTAGAACTGAAGTGGACGCGAAAGATGCGACAACCGAATAGGTAGAAGTTTAGTATTGTAAATAGTTCACATGGCATAACAACAAAAATGACTTTACTATACCTACATAAATGATTTTATTTATTTTACTACAATTATTTATATATTTTAAATTGATACAATACAACAAACCAAACTAATAGTTTTATATAGCTTTCTAGCGCTTTACCGCCGCTTTGCTTCCGTTTCACTCCCTTTTTATCTCTAAAGAGTTCTCTCTTTAACAGGGTTGAATTTCCAAATATCCTTTTTTAACAGAAATCACCTCCCAAGTGTCAAGTTTAAAGCATTTATAATTATTAGGATTTCATGATAAACAGTCACTGAGTGCGAGGTATTTCGCTTTCATACAATGTATAGATAGATAGAATATAAAAGATAAAATAATTCTCAGACTCAAAGAAAATTATTTTGTGTTTACAGATTCTCAATTGATCGGGTAGATTTAAAGTTTTGACGACACGTTTGGCTCAGTTTGTAGTGACCCTACTTGCTGAGCCAGGGGTCGCGGGTACGAGTCTCGCGGGGGGCAATTATTTGTATGATGAACACGAATGTTTGTACTCCAGTCATGGGTGTTTATATTTATAATATGTACGTATTTAAAGTTATATATGTGTAGTGTATCAACTATCTTGTATCCATAACGCGGGCCTCGTAACTCACCATGGAACTAGATGGTGCTGTGTGTTAATATCCTAATATATTTATTTATTTAAAGTAAAAAATTAAACTTCGCATATGAAGCTATACAGAATCATAGTAATATTTTCTTTCCTTTTATGCGGTACAGGAATTATAATGTAGCTTAAACGGGGCGAAGGCGAACAGGATTTTTGTAGAGCTTGTTTACGTAGTTTTTTATGTAGGTACTTATTTATAACATGAATCAATAATATTAAGTTTAAGGAAGCCATAAAATGGCTTCCTTAAACTTAATATTTCATTATGGACTAATATATAAATGCGGATAGTGCATCAAAATATTGTACGTTATGCTGTGTGAATTAAGTTCGCGCACTTTTAAATAAGCTGTTTTACATATAAAAATTATATACATAATTACATATATATTATAATACCGATCTATTTGTGTAGAATTTGTACAACATGAAGTTTATTAAATATTCGTACAATGATAAAATTATAACTTTTTATGACATCGCATTATTATGAATATGGCAACTTAGTTTAAGAATATCAAGAGTAATTGCGATGCCAATTATAAATTTTGTGGCCTCGTTTTTTGTTAAATAACTTTACATGCCGGCCAAACTACTTTTTGCTGTAGATAATATACCACAGAAAAGATACATTGATACCTACATTAATCCAACTCCTTATAACGTAACATTAAGTTGTTTAATTATGAGTCTAACAGAGCCTCAGAGGTTAGCAGAAATCATAAAGAGGCTAAGATTTAAAAATTGAATCAACTATTATAATAGGTACTAGATTGGATGGAAAATACATATATAAACATTTAACACAGGTTTAATGTAAATAATAATAATATGATGAATTCTTTTATTTATATCAAAACTAGCGGCTCACCCTCGATTCACTCGGTTTCGTCGCTAAGTACGTTTTAAATAGATATAAATAGTTATTCGCCAGCGTTAGCCATATAATTTTTTTTTTTCGTTAATTTTTTTGATGTTTTAAAACTTATTATCCTATTCCGGACTAAGAGAAATCCAAAAATTCAAATATCATAAAAATTGGTCCAGCCGTTCTTCAGTTTTATCTCACGTCACACGGGAACGCGATTGAACAGGATAAAAAGTTCTAAGCTACCTCCCCACCAATTCTCCGCCAAATCGGTTCAGCCGTTCTTGAGTCATAAATAGTGTAACTATCATGACTGTCTTTTATATATATATATATATAAAAGAAAGATATATTATGAAAGACAATAAAGATAAAGGTACGTTAGGGTACATAATTAGGTATTAACATCATGTTTTGTTTTCCTTTCTGTAATAGGTATATATTTAAATATCTATGTATTAAGTATTAATAGATAAAATAAGAGGTAATTAAAATTTTGATATCTTTTATGTTTTCGTAAATGTCACGTATGACGTAGGTTATATGGACATGATGACATTAGACTTTTATCAGAATTACGTGAAAGTGCGAAGCTCAATTTAAGATATGACATTGATTAAAACTGACCTGACTGATAAGTTTATCTAATTAATATTTAAGATTGATTAGAATAACTACAAAAATGTAATATAATTTATTAGCTGTTACCTGAGCAATTTTTTTTTTGTTTTAAACATATTATCTATACAGATAAATAAAATTGAAGTGTCTGTGTACATGGTACATATACCAAAACAACATTTTTTACAATTTTTGTCTGTCTGTCTGTTTGTTCCGGCTAATCTCTGAAATGGCTGGACCGATTTTGACGGGACTTTCACCGGCAGATAGCTGATGTAATAAGGAGTAACTTAGGCTACTTTTATTTTAGAAGAAAAAATAGGACCCCACGAAAAAAATTAAAACCAATGAAAAATTTAATAATATCCGATTTAAATAGGAAAGTTGTATACGCACCCTATAGACGAACCCGAGCGAAGCGAGAGTAAATCGCTAGTATTAAATATATTTAAGTTGTACCTAATTCGGTTTACATAATTACATCATGAATACTTTTTACGTCTTACCTGTTCACAATACAAAGTATAAAAGTCATAAATAAAGGAATATTGATGATGACGACTGAATGGTAAATAATTTATACGATTACCTACTACATAAAGTCCAATTGAACGTGCCAGTATGAATGTTGAAGCAGAATGACGCGTGAATCTTTTATCTATAACAAAATATTTATTTGTTTTGTGCTACTCATTCAAAGGATCTGTGATTAACGTGTGTACAGTGTGCAAAAACCAAGATGTTAAGAACCATAAAGTGGAATTCCCTTGGCCGTGCTGCGAGTTCTCGCTAACTCAGTCATTTGTGTACCTCCGGATCGATCGTGTCCACCTGACAGAGGTATGTGCGCTCCACTCTACTCGAAATTCAATCGATTTTTAACGATCAATTCTTAATTTTGTTAATTAAATGCCCATCATTACACAATGTGTAAATGATAACTTGTATAATTTAGGTTAATGCCGTTCTACGATAGTGCTTAAATATCACAAGAAATTTAATTTATATAAAATACTGACTGCTGTATTGGCCGGCTTTATATTACAGTGACATACTATCATATAAAATGTAAATACAAGTAAAAATCTTTAGTTCTCTATTAATTCAAAACAGGCAACATCTGCTTTAATTAACATAGTTTATTGACTAAATCTTCGAGCAACTAATTAATTTATGTGAAGTGATATTACCGTTACTTTAATTTTAAATGCCAATCATTCTGAAGTGATGTCGATAAGAAGGGAATTATCTGGTAGAACAAAAACTCAGCTGGAATCAATGCCGTCTCAATGTCCTATAAAGTGTACTGGCAGTAAACAAAATGAGGAAGTCGATATCGATGAATTATACACGGTGTTACAAAATACTTTTGTATTGTCAGATTGTGTTGCAATGAACGGACAGACTGACTTTGTCACAGTGTCGCAAGATTTGAAAAATACAGATGAAATGAAAAATTTAATAGAGAATGAAACTGGCTATCATCAAAAAACTTTAAATGATCCTGAAATTGATTTCAAATCAGATGATGAGGAGTGAGTATAGGGTTCATTCTTATTAAAGATGTACCTTTTTTACTTTCATTTCATATAAATCAACACAAATCTAAAGTTTTTTAGTTGTCATTAGATAACTATAGGAATACTTTTTTGTGTCTCGTCTCGTTTTACGGTTATGTTGATTCAATATAAACTTGACTTATGAAATAACTCTCTGAATATTTTTACTTCAATATTATTTAAAAAAAATGTGTTGAAAAAAAGTGTAATGTGGCTTACGTAGCGGAAGATATTATGTTGCCGGCAACTTATTTAAAGAATTATACTTACAAACATTGCACGTCGATTAAAATATCCCTTGAAGTATCTTGTACGAATATAATAATGGATAAATAAATAACGATATAAAACGCTATTTTGATTAATAATATGTCTCATATTTAATCAAATATTTACGCTTTGAAGAAAAACAGTGATTATAATCACTAGATAGATATATTATTATTTTTTTGAAAATATTTATGCCTGTATTTTATATATATAGCTTTACTTTCATCGCCTATGTTTATCTATTACTATTACGGAATTCGCTACTCGAAATGGTAACTTATGTATGATTATATTATAATATCTAATAACATATAAGTCATATTTATAGAATATTTTCCAAATTAGATCTAATTTAAAATTGTAGGTCTGGCATCTGAAATAAATAAAAAATTTAACAATTCCATCTCTTTTGTGATTTTTGATAAATTAACATCGTTTTGTATAGGATTATAGACAAAAATTTCCTTAATAATAGCTATAAATTAATCTATAACTATGTATGTTGCTCATTTGATTTTAACAAAGACAATAGAGATAATATGAGACAATTGAGTTCAAGTTGCATGTCAAGTTTACTTAAACTATACACGTAATCTATAGAACAAAGAATAGTGATCGTAATATGGGATCCAGTTTATGTATACCTACATATTATAATAAAATTCTAACTGATAATTCTATATTAAATATTTTTCGAAAGTCTTATTGAAATCGTCATTTAAATTATATCGATATACTTAAAGGTCGAATCTATAGTTCTTAGAATTTTTGTCGGTCTGACTGTCTGTCTGGGAACGCATCACGAGAAAACCACCGGACAGATTTTAATGAAATTTCTTTCTGAAAAATCTATACTAACCATTAAAACGTAGGGACGAACCTAACCGGAGTGAGGTTGAGTCGCTAGTTAAAGTATATAAATATTCCTAAATACTTAAATATGTTTACATGAAGGTTAAATACAGAGAAAGGGCCATAAGTCATCTTACCAAGGACTCTATATTCAAGTTTTCATTGTATTGAATGTATAATAATGTAATATGTCTTCCAGTTAATCCGAATAAGCAACAAAAATTTAAAATAAATTATATTCTTTATAAAAAAACTAAATGCAAACAAAACAAAAAAAACCAACAACAAAATATCGTTTTGCGGTAAAATATTACGTATAATGTTAATAAAATTTAAGTTAAGGACTTAAGCTGCTAATATCTAATGAATTACACAGCAATAAAAACAATTATCAGATTTTCATGTTTAGTTTTTGCTAGTAATGTTTCTTGTCAATGTTTAAATTTAGTTTGTATAATAGATACCAGATTATCTTCTTTCTCAGATGAGTTTATGCAACTGCTGCATGATTTTTTTATTTAATAACTGAAAATTGAAATATATAACAAGTATAAAAAATCTATGTATAATGTATATTCTCCCCCCCCTCTCCCACCTCCCCTCTCTCTCTGCGTGTCAAAAATGGCTATTTAGAATATTATCTGTGGAAAAACAAACAAACAAATAAACAAACAAACATATTATTACCGTTTTATAGTTAGTACTATTTTGATACCTAATACACATATATCTTTACCAATATAAAGATATGTATTATGTATTTAGCATTAGTCATAATGACGTATAGACGTAACTTGTCGCCTTCATAAAATGCAGGTGTATTGGCAGTATGGTTTTTCAATTTCCAAGTTAGCAAGTGCAAGAGTAAGTAGTTAAATTTTATTTATTTAACGAACGTACATACAATTTGAACAGAAACGTGTGACAATTATTAGCAAGTCACACTGTGATTTGTCATAGAGTACAGACAATTTCTGATCTAATGCATACACAACGCCGCTTATAAACGAAATACCGATTTATTCTTCCGCAAATTATCGGCTAAAATGGTTTTACTAAGTTTATTATTTACCTAAAAGAAGGTTTTAAGGGCTACTTGCACCAATTCAAAGTTAAAAGTTCTACCAATTCAAGTAAAAAATTTTTTTCTTCTCCACTTCGTATGATAGTAAGAGAATATTTCTTAACTCCTTTTAGACTATAGTTTCTTGAACTTCTAAGTACACCGCAACAACAATACGTCCTGAGAATAATAAATGATCTTTATATTCCCTTAAGTTCCTATATAGTATGTATATGTTTCTGTTAAGCAAATCATAAAAGCTGTCACTCACACAATCTACAATATGCAAAACTAGGAATTACTTAAAAAACATATTCAAAAACATTAGTCAAATATTACTCAACAAATTATGGATTCGACCAAATAATATGTATGTATTAACATTGAAGATAACCTCACTGACTTGCAATTATAGATGCCTAAAAGTCGGCCACTGCACAGAAAGGTCAGGTTCAGACTTGTCAATAACTGTGTAGGATACAATTCATTATAAACAATTCGTGTGAACATATATACCTATTTTATTATCATCATCATGAGCTGAAAATGAATGTTACATAATAGCATACAATATTTTACTTTCATGGTTTTAGATTTATTGTATTTGCGTCTGCCTCGAATAGTAGAATAAATATTAAAATACGTCATTTTACTAATCACTGCTAAGGTTGAGCTATTTTCTACGAAACAGGTTTTTCTTAGAATTATTATCATCTCTACGTTTTCAAGTTTTCAGCCTCTATCTAGGCCATATTTATCTATTTATAATTATAACAATTCTTTTTTTCAATCATTAAAGGAAAATTTTCTAATAATTGATTAAACAAAAGCCTTGTGATTGTAGTTGGATATGTTCTAGTCTATCCATAAGCACACAATCAACAATGCATTAGTTTCGAAGTGATTAATTGACAGAAGAAATGTATATACATAATAAAAACTCAAGTTATATTTCAGAAATAATTTTTGCTGATTGGAAAGGGGTGAAAAAAATGATCTTTGCTAAATTTCATTATACAAAAAATAATAATATTTTGAAGATACTATTTTGTAATGATATTAAATATCACTTTATTTATCTTTTATCTAGTAGGCTTAAAGCGTGGTTACTGGTTATGTTATACTGTATTAGATGCTTAATATATTTTTACAACTTTTATCGCACCTATTTTTTTTCGAGGATGAAATAATCTTGGTGAAAGATCGTATAAGTTTTGCCTACAATCTTTAAATTTCACCTTCGAATTAAGGACAAATAGCGGTTCTTTTTTATATTGGCATAGTTTTACCTAGTATAGTATTATATGATCTGTGGTTTTACTAACTTAATAGAAACTCTATCATAAAGCCACATAAATTAGAACGATTAATTATATTATATATTATTACTAGCGGAACCCGCGGCTCGTTCGCGCTAAACCTACAAAAAATATCTAAAATGGTAGTTTCATACAAACTTTCATCCCCTATTTTACTCCCTTATAGTATGAATTTCAAAAAGTGCTAAAACATGTATTTATTTAATTTTATTGAAGAGCATTAATACCAAGTTTCAAGTAATTCTGATCATAAATATTTTTTTGTTATATTATAACGTGTTTTCCCATGGGAATGAGATAATCTTCCACGGTAAAAAATAACCTATGTCACTCTCCAGCCCTCCAATTATCTCCAGACAAAATATTTTTCAACGTGAAAGAAGGACAAACAAACAAACGCACTTTCACATTTATAATATTACTATGGATTTACCTGATGGTGTAGTGACGCACTTTCACATTTATAATATTACTATGGATTTACCTGATGGTGTAGTGGGATTTCAGCGTCGGATTCCAGCCAGTCGGCCTTTACAGGCGGTGGAATACCTAGTTAAAATCGTTGATACCCTACGAACTCTCACCAGTGGCTCCAAGTAGCTGTCTTGCACGCAGCGACCACACCCCGGTAACCACGTCGGCTCATGGGCTAAACCTGGTAGAGAGGGGCTTAAGTGTTTCGGCATTCAAGTCTTGCGGTTGCTCCCCGCATAGTGCATAGGGTCTGTCTCGGCCTCATTGGCAATCCACCACTGGTGGCGAGGCAGCTAGGCATTGTGGAAGGCCTTAAGGACGGCGATAGGGGTCATTAGTTATCGTTCGGCCAGACACTGCATCCAGCCCTCCTCCAGCTGTAACGGTCTCCGTTCCACTGGAACAGGGAGGGTAAGGACGAGAGAGTGCTTCTGTGTTTGCGCGCATACTTAAGTACTTTAATATATCCTGCGTAAATGACTGCTTCTGAATAATGACTTTCGATTATTAAAGTCCTATGGCGATGGACAGAGGTAGAAAGGTCTGGCTGTATTGCAAGCTAGGCTTTGTCTGATGTCTGCACATAGGCGGCTCAAGGAGAATGGTCGTTTTCGTGCTGCAATTTGGGTGACAGCACGGACTGGGCAGCACATTGAGTGACGAAGCAGCCCTATTCAGGGAGGCACTGCTTCCCCCGCTCAGCCGGGGAGGGGACTAGAAAAGGTGTCCCAAAAATTGTTCACCCACCTTATCTGGGAGGTAGTAACCACGGCTGCCTGTGCAACCCTTACCTCGTGGTCGACGATACAGGAAATATATAAAATCATCAAATATGACATTTGGTGCGTGGAATGTACGCACACTTCTGGATCGGGATAGTAATCTATGCCCAGAACGTAAGACAGCAATTGTAGCAGGTGAACTTGCTCGTTACAATATAGACATAGCTGCACTCAGCGAAACCCATCTAGCTGACGAAGGAGAACTGGAAGAGCGTGGCGGTGATACACTTTCTTTTGGAAGGGGACTGCCGCGTCTGAACCCAGATGTTCAGGGGTAGGTTTTGCAATTAAGACGTCGATAGCAAGAAAATTAGAGGAATACCCAACGTACACTTCAGATCGTTTGATATCGTTACGTCTACATCTCCATAATGATAATTATTTAAATGTAATAAGTGTATATGCACCCACCATGACCAATCCGGACGAGGTTAAGGACAGATTTTATGAAGAATTGGCTCAAACTCTGGCTAGAATCTCGCCTAGGGAGCAAATACTAATCCTGGGTGATTTCAATGCAAGAGTTGGGCGCAACTTCGAAGCGTGGCCTTGTGTGTTGGGTAGACACGGAATCGGTAATATGAATAGTAACGGGCAATTATTACTCAGCTTTTGTTCCCAGTTCAACTTATCCATTACCAATACACTATTCAGATTGCCGATGAAACATAAGGCTACGTGGATGCACCCTCGTTCCAAACACTGGCATCTAATTGACTACGCAATTGTTCGCCAAAGGCACATACCCCAAGTAAGAATTACACGTGTAAATGCGAGGTGCAAATTGCTGGACAGACCATAGGCTGGTATCACGAAACTCAAACTTCGTCTTCATCCTCCTCGTAGATCATCTCTAGCAAAACCCACCTGCTTAAACGTAGAGAAACTTGAGAACACCAAAACGAGGAAGGAATATGTCCATGCTCTTAATTCTGCACTGGTTACTTCTACTGAGTCGGATAGTGTGAGGATCTTCATGTTCAATGGCAAGACTTCTCTTCTCGACTACTGGACGTCGGTTCTAAGATACTGGGCACAAAAATGCACAAAAACGAAGACTGTTTTGATGAGAATAATGAGATTTTAGCAGAAGCATTGAAAAAGCACCGAAATCTTCTAAAACAACAAGACCGCAGTAGACCGTACAGTACCGCAACAACATCAAACAGCGTAGTTCTGAATTGCGAAAAATTAACTAGGGATATCAAGGACAAGTGGTGGCTCGAAAAAGCTGAGCACATTCAGTGGCTAGCGGATACTAAACAACTTGGTGCATTCTATGGGGAGGTGCGAAAACTGATTTGCACAAGTCATCGTGTTAATATTGCCTATCAAATCACGCGATGGTTCTCAGCGTCTGTCGTCAAAGGAAGAAGTGCTTGCGCGATGGGCTCAGCATTTCAATGAACCTCTTCAATTTAGACCGCTCAGCAGATATAGCAATATTTTTGTCATTGTCCGCGCTACCCACAGCCACTGGGCTAGACGAGCCGCCGACATTATATGAAGTCAAAAGTGCTATCAAACAATTGCATAATAAAAAGGCGGTTGGTATTGATAACATCCCAGGGGAACTACTTAAGTACGGGGGTGAGAGACTTGATGAAGTCATAAGGAATCTTTTCGTGACCATGTGGAACGAAGAGCGGGTGCCAAATACTTTCAAAGTATCTCGAATAAGCGCCCTCTATAAAAACAAAGGCGACCGATCGGACTGCAACTCTTACCGTGGAATATCGCTGCTGTCTACCCCCGGAAAAGTTTTTGCGAAAATCCTCCTCAACCGGCTCATTCCAATATCTGAAACAATCCTTCCAGAGACTCAGTTTTTGGTTTTCGACCTGAGAGAGGAACCTGTGAAGCTATATTCTCTGTTCGCCAGCTTCAAGAAAAAAGTAAGAACAAAGTCGACCTCTATACCTCTGCTTCGTCGATCTTGAAAAGGCATTCGACAGTGTTCCTCGAGACGCACTGTGGGTCCTGTTGATAAAACTGGGATGCTCTTGAGAAGTTTTGTGCGGATGATACGACTCTTGCATGACGATATTGCTCTGTTGCGTCGCGGTAAAAGGCGAACAATCAGATTTTTTTTAATGTCACTTGTGGTGTGAAGCAAGGATGTGTACTTGCGCCAACACTCTTTGCTCTGTACTTTGCCGTCGTCATTCGAGAAACCCTGAAAAGAACTTCAGAAGGTATTCGGCTTCGTTTCCGAACCGATGGCAATTTATTCAACCGTGCCAGACTAAAAGCCCGCACAAAAGTCTCTTATACCACCATAACAGAGATTATGTACGCTGATGACCTGTGCTTTGTGGCAGACACTTGTGAGGGTTTGCAGGCGCTAATAAGTTGCCTCAACGACGTTTGTTGTAAGTTTGGTCTTTCAATAAACGTCAAGAAAACCGAAGTGATGGCTATGAACATAGACGAACAGTTGTTAGTTCCTGACTTCTTAATCGGCAACAGCAAACTGAAACAAGTGGAGAGTTTTAAGTATTTGGGCAGCATAGTCACACATAAAGGGGATCTTGATGCAGAAGTGGATCAGAGAATATGTGCAGCAGCAGCTGCTTTTGGCAAACTGCAACCCAAAGTTTTCCGCTCGCACGATCTCAAGTTGACTACTAAGATCTCTGTGTATATGGCAATAGTTCTCCCAAATCTTTTGTACTCAGCAGAAACGTGGTGCCTCTATCGTAGGCATATAAGGACTTTGGACAAATTTCATCTTAAATGCCTCAGAAACATCATGAACATCAGATGGTCGAACCGTATTAGAAATACGAATGTTTTAAGGCGAGCCAAAGTTCTCGGCATAGAGGCCTACTTAATGAGACGCCAGCTAAGGTGGTGTGGTCACGTATCAAGGATGCACGAGGAGAGACTGGCGAAGCGCATCTTCTATTGTTAGTTAGTGGTCAGTTGTTACGTTATAAGGATGTTCAGAATAGACACTTTAAGAGGTGCAAAATTGACCCCTTAGTATGGGAAAAGCAGGCACAAAATCGGTTTGAGTGGAGAAGTCATGTGCATCGGCAGGTCAACGCCTTTGAAGAGGAAAGAAGGTCGCAATTAGACGCAAAACGTGACGACCTTAAAGCTAGGCCACCTACAGCTGTAAATTATTACAATGTCGTCAATGGTGTTCTGACATGTCCGCTTTGTGCTCGGAGCTTTTCAGCCAAAGTTGGATATGCCAGTCACATGAGAGCACACGAAAGAGCAGCACATCGAAGCTCACGACGACCGCCATAGAAAGCCATCGTAATGCAGTCGCTGTGGCCGAAAACGGCTAGATGGCATCATCATCATGGATTTACCTTCAATGAAAATGGCTTCATCACTCTTAAATGTTCACTATTTTTTTTATGTATAAAGAAGAAAAGGAAAATGCTGAATTGACGTAATGTTGGCCTTTATAATGACAATACGTTTTTATGGATAAATCATTAATGCGTAACCACGAACCACTTGATTTGTCATTCGTTTTGAAGGTTGTGAGATAATAATAATTAATTAATGGAGTAAATGTTAATTTTAGGGTTTGCTAAACAATATTTTGAAATAATTACAAGAAAATACTGTAAAGATATCCATATTTTTATTATTATAGATCATAACTAAAAGACTAATATAACTTTTATCTTACAAAGCTTCGACTATTATTCAATATTTTCAATTTTTATCTAATCTAAATTATCTATTCTATTTCTTCTTTAAATAATTATTATGTAAGTATATTTACAAAAAAATAATAAATAAGAATTTATCACAAATCACCAATACAAGTTCTAAGCTATGAGAAAAATAAAAAAAAAAAACAGAAAGAAAATCGAGCTGGTTGTATTCGTAGAAGAGTAAATAGTGGTGGACCGATTCAGTGACTAAATAAACCGTTATAAGTGACTGTCATGTACAAGCAGATATTTCCTGCACTAAAAAACCCTAGCTTGTAACAATATGAATAAATATTTTCATTTTTTGCTTTTTTGAGTAGTAACTTGCGCATAAATTTTGTAAATTTCATGTTCACATTCATTTGCATAAAATAGATGACAGTTCTATAGGCTATTATATGTAAAATGTTTCAAATTATTTTCCATAAACAACGGCTATTATTTATTCCAAACGACTTTATTTCCTTTTTTGATGATTTTTTAAACGTCAGTCGCTTACATAATAATATCCTTGAAAATTGCACACACCCATTTTTTATTTATTTGCCGAATGAGTAGGTGAACTTAAATTGTAGTAATTAACACAAATTGAGTGTGCCCCCTATGTATTATATGTAATTGAGACATGAAAATAAAATTCATAGGTGCTCATGCACATCACCCATCATTTGTACTATATTCCCTCAACGACCGCGGACACGTCGGCGTTACAGTTAACAATAGATTTCTTAGAAATTTAATTAATTTCTTAGAAATTTACCTGGAGGTAATATATTTAAATAATGTAAGATATTTTAGAATGCCTTATTTATTTGAATCATTAATTAATTATTAATAGCCCTTTTTCCGCTCCTTAAATTATAATCAAAATTATTTTCCTTTTTACGAGTAGGGTACAATTTTATACCCCAAAAGAAAGAAAATTAAAATCTTTCTGAAATACTGTCATATGTAATAAATATTGCCAGCTACATAATTGACAAGCATTACCCGTGAGTATACCATATAGGTATACCATAAATCAATTATTAATTGATTTATATGTTGCCTCTTATATCAGCCGATTTATCTCAGCCAAATCGATAGAGTATATTGCTACATATATAAATCATAGGATTTTCATATAAAATTACGATCCCCTTAGACCGCCTTAATTTAAGCCCTTTTAACTGCGTAAAATTAGCACAGTTCTAGATGATGTCTTTTACCTATAAGCTACCTATTTGTTAAACAGCTTCATAGATCAAGTAGTTTTCGAGATATAGTGGATTCTTGATTTTGACAGGTGACAACAGGAAACATGATACTTAAAGACTGGTATGTTCACTTGTCTTTTGGCACGTTTGTCATATGTAGGGATGTTTATAGGTAAGTATGGTTTCTTAAAATTCAATTTAATTGGTGATTTTGCTTTATACTCATTCTTAACTCTATTTCCAATTTAGAAATTTAATTCTTCTCTGAGTTACTGGAATCTTTAGCTAATGTTGCTGCTACCGGTACAGATTTCAGGTTTTAAATGGTTATACCGCCACGAATTCTTACCATACCTTGAGATCGTTTTGTTTTGTTGCTTGAGCCACTTCCGTTATCCAGCAAAAACGAAGATAGTAATAAGTTGAATAAAACGAGAATAATTAGTTGAATGAAATACGAGTATTAAAATAGAAAAAAACATATTAAGGGATATTTATACTGAAAACCTATTACTATACATCCAATAATAATTATTTCCTTATAAACTTTCCAATAGATTAAGACCTTTATAAAGAAGCGGAATTATTAAAAAGCTTTCGTTTAAATGAGGCAAACAGCGATGACCGATGAAGGAAGGTCACAAGTGGCGAAAGACAGTATCCGTAAATCACTTTAGAGGTCATGGTACCCGACAATCTTTGCATATTGAACGCTGAACCTTGAGTAGGAAATACGTATATGTACCTAGTAGGTACCCACTTATATGCTTTTCTTACGTTTAATTTATCTTTCAGTTCATAAATTGAGCTACAGGAATAAAAAATATAAAGCATCACAAAACCGGTCCTATCTCGTTTTATTTGTTCTAAGGAAACGAAAAAACTCAAATTTAATTACTTACTCATTACTATCCGGTATATAACACGTTATTAGAGAATATTTTAAACACATATCTATTAAAAGCTTCATAAATCTAATGTACAACATAGTTTATTTAATAAGTAAAGAAGTATATTTAATTTAAGTAAATATGTGTTTAAATAAATTATACTTTTTTATGCAAACAGATACATTCTCTTCCTCAATGCAAAGAAAGATATTTCCTACTTTTTGATTATATATATTTTTATTTTTGTTATAAGTGCACATTTTTAATGGTATTTATAAGCATAAATTTACGTAATTTTATAATTTACATACTTTAATTTAATAATTTTCAAAATACTATTTATTACATACCTACGTAAGAATTAAGCTGTTACAAGTTTTTATTTAACTTGCAATGTTGGTTTCTTCGGGTCAAATCGCAACTGAATTTTAAAATTTTATTCTCAACCGATTGAGCTGAAATTTTGCATTATGGAGGGTATACGGGTAGAGAAGGAGATCTCTGCAATGAAAAAGTGTCCGTCAAAACGCGTCCACTAAGGGTTGCGCTGCGGTAGCGTACGATAAATTTTAAAGGAAGCGCCAAAAGTAATTAGAGTAACATAGAGAAATAAGCAAGGATGGTCATATTTACTAAATTATTTTAGACTGCATAAATAGTTGAGGTTTTGTAAACTGGTATTTCATTAATTTTTAGTCATAAAAAATTTAATTTTTTGAATTCAGCACACTTCACCCCGTCTACAACAGCTAAATTCATATAAGAGATTTCTCCTCTACCTTCCATATTACACCTTTAGTTTGCATGACAATGCATTGTTAGCTAATGATATCATTCAAAATCCAATGTGGCTGAAAGGGTGAGCTGAGAAAAATACGAATACAATATAAAATTAAATTAATAGTAAAAAACATTTTTTAAAAACAAGTTTTTATTTAAATTATCGAAAAAGAAGAAATTAAATCAAAACAACAATTTATTACATTATGAAATTTATATTATATAAAAGCTTATTTGTGGCATGTTTATTATTAAATGACATATCCTTCATAAAATCTTCTCTCCTCAAATTGGCTATTGAAACTCTTAAACTTGTTATGTGGGGCAAAATGCCGAAAAATAATAATTTGACATGGATCTTAACATAAAATTCGTTTTGACAGGTTTACCAGCTTATCGCATTCTTACAAAAAAATTTTTAAGTCTTCTCTAAATTCGTTAGCATACGTGTCCTGGTATGGGCGGTTTCTGACACAGTATTAGCATTTTTTTCTGAGCTGGCAAGCTTGCACCGACCAATGGTCAAACTGAAGAAAAACAGAAGCGTGCATTAAAATAAAATAAAAACCATATACGTAAAATATAAATATATCATTACCTATGTATTTAATTAATAATATTTTAACCAGGTCAATTCCGATACCGGACGGCCTGGTGATGGACCCAATGGCGCCCACAGCACTCGCAGTTCCAAATCAGCTGATGGGTCGCATAGGCAGTGGGCTCAGCATCCTTAGAGATCACGGCAAAAAATTTCAAAAGGTACCTACTACTTTTCAATAAGTTGTTAAATTTGCATTTTCTTTCACTTCCAGATTTAATAAACTGAATAATAGATTCGAGGACTTTATTTAAGATAATAAATGGTAAATAGCAATATACAAAATGTAAAGCGATAATTCCATTGATATATTTACGGTTACTTTAAAATTCCTTACTAATTTTTATCTTCTTAAGAAATCTAATCTTAAGAAAATTCGATATTGATTGATCGATAGATTCATTAATAGATAACTATCTTGATTATGACTCGGTGGTGCATGTGTGGTGGTGACTGATATAAACAAGTTCGTGGATTCGATTCCTTTACGACATAAATGTTTGTTGGGACCGGACGATAAAGATGTTTGTGCGCAACTAATTAACACGAAAAGTCATATAGTTACTTTCTAGCTACCCAGATAGGTTCACAGTTCACACATTTTAATAGTATTGTATACAAATACAGTATACGCTAACATTAGAAAAATATTAATTTTACTCTTCTACGTATGTAAATAATCTGAAATGCTTACTTGCTTAGCCACTGTTTTATATATAGGTAAGTAATTTTGAAACAAGATAGTTTTTGTTGAGCCATATCAAATACATTTTTAGATAGATAAATAGATATGCTTTATTGTATACCACACATATACTAAAGAAGAAATGAACGTATAGATGATGCACAGGAGATTTTACCGCTATAAGCGATCTTTTCCAGGCAACCTTTAATAATGTATATTTTATAAATGATACTCTAAGATTAGTACATAATGTTAGTATAAAGAAACGAAGAACATCTTATTTTAGTACTAACATAATCTACAATTTTTTGTATATCAGTCTATAGTTGTTAGATACAAAATATTGGCTTTAATCAAAGTGCAATAAGATATAATATTATATTATATATCTTTAAATAATTATTAGTAAAACAGCCATACCCTGGTACGAACCTAAAAATCTTCACTTAGGTAATTACCTACCTCGTAGCAATGTTTTCAACCGGCTTCAAAAAAGAGGAGGTTCTCAATTCGGCTGTATTTTTTTTTATGTTTGTTACCTCAGAACTCCGTCATTTATTAACCGATTGGGACAATTTTTGTGTTGTTTGAAAGTGTATACTTCCAGATTGGTCCCATTTAAATTTCAAATAAAAATACTACCCATAAGGGTGGAAAAATAGCTAATGATGAATTTAACCTACTTCTAATTGTCATATTGACTTGAAACTTTGCAAGTGTTTCTATTTCCGTTGATAGTACAATGGTTCGGTATTCTTGACCTGATTTGATGGTAAGGCCAGGAGGTGGATAGGTGGAACTCTTCAACGGCTAATAGTAGATACTTTGAGTTTGGGCTTATTTTGTTTGATTTGACAAGCATTAGGCTTGTCAAATCAAACAAAATAAGCGTAACGTTAGAGTTCTTACTTTGCTACTACTGTCTACACTAAAAAGGGAAAAATAAAAACTTTTTAACAAAAAAATATAAACCGACTTCAAACAAAAGCACTAAAAAGTAAAAAATAACTGATTGGTAGTTTTCATTAACTATACATACCAAATCAAATATTTTCGAAGTCGGTGTGCTTTGGCTAAGTAATTAAAGCTTACCTATTAAATACATACCTAATCAAATATTTTCGAAAGCGGTGCCAGCCCATACAAAGCAAAGCACACCGACTTCGAAAATATTTGATTAGGTATGTATAGTAAATGAAAACTACCAATCAGTTATTTTTTACTTTTTAGTGCTTTTGTTTGAAGTCGGTTTTTATTTTTTTGTTATGTGTAGAGCGACTGGCACCTTAGGATCAAGTGTTTAGTAGAACTTGAAACTAAAAGCTAGCTCTAAAATGCTGAACGCATGGTACATTAAAGCATTATACGGTGAAGGGGTAGGCACTAAACTTTGTGAGAGCTTAAACATGCTACGAAGTCAAGTACTTAGTGACGCTGAAAGTGTAAGAAACGGGCTACTGTTGAAATAACGAAATTTTAATTAAAAAACTGTTTCTATTTAGTGCCAACAAAATTATTTGCCATGTACAATTCATAAATTTTATGTAATTATAGTTATAAATATATATAAATTAACATGATTTTTGCATCATATTATTTTAAATATAAAATACTAGTCAACCAGACTTTTTTATATTTATGTAAATGAAATCCTAAATATCCTATATAATCTTAAAAAAACTTTTATTACGAGACAAATTTTTGACTTGACAACATAAAAATAGGCTACGAGTATACAATCCTGGAAAAATCCGACAATCCTTTGTTTCATTGATATCTAAGAAGAGGACAAGCTAACAAACTCATTTCCTATTAATCTATACAGTATATATAATAAAGTAACTAAGCTGAATTTGTACATGAAATATTTTTTGGAAAATCTTATTGAAATAGACTTTATTATCGATACAGAGGCCGAATATATAGTTTTTAGATTTTTTGTCTGTCCGTCTGTCTTTCTGTCTGTTACCGCATCACAGAAAAACCACTGGATGGATTTTGATGAAATTTGGTATAGCGATAGCTGGATTACGGGTCAACATATAGGATACTTTTTACCCTGAGAAAATATATCATTTCTGAGAAAAAATATAAAAACTGCAATGTAAGAATATACTAATATGTAAAATCTAAGAATTTGGTTTTTGGTCACCTGAACACGGGCAGAGCCGCGGGCAATGCTAGTTATTAATAATATAACAGTAATAAAGATATAATAGTAATAGGTATTACAAATACACATCTACATGTCAAACAATGTCATGTTCCAAATAAAAATCATAATTTATTCAAGTATTCTTAAGAATAAAATAGCTTTAAGTAACCTCCGTTTCATATTGGCGATTGAATTTACTAGAGCTAGTTTGTATGGGCGTTAATAAAAGCTACTGAATCGTTAACTTAGACCATTTTATTTTAATCAATGCCACAATCGCTAATGCTCCCCAGTCGCCTCACATGTAATCATTATTCGCTAACTCACAACTTATTGTAAACATACATAGCACCCAAGATGCACGTACATATATCACAGCTCTCCACATCATTCATTAATACTGTGTTTTCAGAAATAGTAGCTTTTTATATATTTATATAAATAAATTAAAAAAAACTTATTTATTTTCTTGTTTAATATAGTTATTTTATATCCGTCTAACGCCAATAGGCAATTTGTGATATAAGAAAGTGCGATATATACTACTTATATATGATCATAAGCAATATGTGTGACTCTTCAATAATGACTGAAGTGCATGAAGATTTTGCTGCAGTCGTGACAGTAAGTATGCACGCTTAATTTCCAAGACTTAAAGTATCCTTTAATTTTTTTTTATTATTTATATTGGAGTTAGTTACATTTTCTGTAAGCTAAAAGTCTTTAAATATTTTATGAGATGCGCATTCAATATATTTTGACAAATTCATTCATATATAATACTAGCATTGCCCGCGGCTCCGCCCGCGTTCAGATGACCAAAAACTAAATTCTTAGGTGTTACATATTAGTATACTCTTACATTGCAGTTTTTGTATTTTTCCTCAGAAATAAGATATTTTCCCGCGGTAAAAAGTATCCTAGGATCGCGCGCTACATCGCCCGGTTTATATAGCTTGAGCAGGCGGTCGAGCGATGCGGGGCAGAGGGGATGGACTCGCCGTAGGCATCTCAATGCTCGCCAAGCATTAAAAATGTTTCGCTACTAATTACTTCTAACAACGATATCTCAAAAACTATTCATCTGATTGATTTAGTGTAAAGAGCAATTTTAATCTGCATTAAATGACTAAGCTAACTAAAATATTCATTTGGATAAGGATTAATACCGAACTAAAGAAAATAACTTTGAAAATAACGTAATGTTTTTAATTAAAAATGTTAACATAAAAGTGGTTATTGTAAGTCAACCGTAAGAGATAGAGATATGCTATCGCGGACTTTTTTGTAGCATTTTTATAGATTTTGAATTCTCTAGTACATTACTTAACTGTATCTTTGCTAGTTTACGCGGCGTTCGCGTGGAAAGTTCCCATTTGGCGAGATTTTTTGCGACCTCTTCAACATTTGTCGCCGTATTTCAGCTAATTTACATAAAAGCATAATAAATTATATACCTAAACCTTCCTCAAGAATTACTCTTTCTATTGTTGAAAACCGTATAAAAATCCGTTCAGTAGTTTTCGAGTTTATCGCGTACAGACAGACAGGAGGACAGACAGGAGGACAGAAAGACGCGGCCGGGGGACTTATTTTTATAATAAGTATAGATAGATATTATTATGTTATATATACCAGGTAAATATTTGCGACTAAATTAATAAGAACTAAGGACGAAATATTGCCATTGTTGTTATTATTATTTATTATTATTGTTCGTTATATATTTCTATGAAAATATATACATATATTCTTTATTGCACTAAACATGTAAAAAAATACATTGATAATGACGTGGACAATTATATTATTTAAAGTATATAATCTACATTATTTATTAATAATTAAAAAAAAAAGGTTTTTTCACTAAAAATATAATATTGATCTAAATTACATAGATATTTTAGTCACAATTGTGTCCTATAATAGAGAAGGATCTGCCAATTTATCACTTCCTCTTATGATGTGCAGCGCTGTGACGGTCTTGTTGTTTTGATTGATATAACTGCTCTACATGTATTATTCTGCTCTTTCATTGAGTAGAGAGATTACCATTGCGATTTAAGAATTTTAATATTCTTAAACACTTCCTTGCTCAACGTCGTATTCATTTAAACGTGAAAATGTAACAGACTAACCGACAGCCGACAGGGATACTTTTACATTGACAATAATTATTGCTGTGAATGTGTTTCAACGTAGTTGAACTTTTAGTGCCGCAGATAAATAAAAACAATCAACTGCGATTCAAATTAATGCAGATATTATAGCTAAAGATTTAGTAGGCACCCACACTAATCATTTACTTTAGAAAAATACTATTCTTACGTTACCACATGACTTTGTTGCCTTGATGCTTAAGAATCTGACTTATGTTAATTATATAAGCTTCCGCAAAGTTTTATATATGTACATTAAAGCTATATTAATAATTATTTTTTATAACAGTGACTCACCCTCGATTTACTCGGGTGCGCCCTTATGTATTTGTATTTTGTTGTGCCTTTTGTACTTATAAGGTTACATACCTACATCTTTTGGCTACTTTCCAACAGGCCAATATACTGTGTACTTTTCATACAAACCCGTTCAGCCCTTTCAGCATAAAGGAATAATAAACAAACACACATACAAAATTTATCCTTTATATTAGTTGTGTGTTAATGTACTATATTGTACATTTTTGTTGTCTTTTAAAAGTTTAATCAACGTTATATTTTGTTTCAGTACCTACTGAAGAATAGGAAGTTTGAAGTTCACAGAAAAACTTGGTCTTCAATCGTAAATATAGTGTTGATTGAAGCCAAAGATTTACCAGACGCGCCTGCCAATGGCTCCAGCGGTCTTTATTGCAAATTTAAGTTAGTATTAATTTTTTGATTCCATGATTCAAGCTCTTATCTATTTATTTATTTATTTCATAAATTTCACTTTAGTATATAAATAGAGTAGTAATAAGTAATAGACTATATAAATAGACAATTCATATATTTTATTAGCGACCTTGATTTGCTCGATCTGCTAGATGTAGCCTATGTAAATTTTATCTAAATTCGTACAGTCGTTTCAGCTTGAAGTAATAACAAACGTACACACATACAAACTATCCATTTCCCAGCGTCTATAACGATAGTGCGAACAAGGCGAATTATTGTTTTTTTTAATCTATACTTACTAACATTTTTAAAACTTTACTGCGCAGTGGGGTCTTAAACTAGTTTAAATGTTTGTAATAATAATAACATTAACGACTTGAAATTTGGTAATTTATGTAAAAAAGATATAATTAAATTATTCAAATACAAATATTCTAAGATCCTTATTTCCGTATTTGCATAAACTTATGTTTTTCTCAATCTTTTAACGTTTTAAACATTTTATTATCATCACATGCACAATTAGCATTAGTAATTTAACATATTATAGTACTGTATAGAAAATACTTTATAAATATCGGTAACAAATGAAAACTTTATCATAAACTTGTATTTAAGATAAAAAAATATTTACATAAATAAAAAACCCGACTGCGTAAAAAACTAACTAAATAGATGAAAACAAGTTGACGAAGGCTCATAGTATTATTACTATTTACTAGTATAGTCTTTATGTCATCTGTGGTATTATACAGTCGGAGACATATTATGTAGGGGAAACTTTTGTACCTAGGCCAGTTTTTTACTGTAAAATATGCATATAAGGAAAGAACAATTATTTAACTACAAAATTCGTATATAATATATAAAACTAGGAACAAAAGCCGTTTGAAAAAAAAAGGAAAACTGTCCAAGGTACAACAGACTCGATGTTCCTTAGACCGTAATAGTTGTACTTTAGACTTATTAGGGTCAATTCAAAATCAACACTTGCAGTTGTTACTATAGTTTTATTTTTTAATTGGACTAATGACTACGATAAATGGCTGATCACTTAAACCTCTACAAACATCAATTGACTCTAACGTAATAGCAATATTTGCATTCTTCATAATCAGACTCTACTAATACTTTTCTTTTTACTTCATCTACTTTTTCTTCTCATTATTCTTAGGTTTTTTGTATTAGACGCAATCGTTTGATGACTAAGATACACCCGGGGGAGAAGCCAACTCCTACCGGGCGCGTCCCCAGGTGGCGGATAGGGGAATGCCACCCGCTTAGGGCGGCGGGTGGTACCGGAGAAATCCGGCGCGGACCAAATGGCTTGGGTGGGGCCGTTCGTCTAGGACTCGAGCCGAAGACGTTGCGGCCACCGGTGGTGGGACCGCTTGGTCCCACAACCGGATGATGGGTGCCGGTTGCGGGACTGTGGTCGCAGGCCCGCATCCGGCGGAGGAGTAGGCCGCGGCGGGAGAGGAGTGCCGGTATTTCGGTGCGCCGTTCTCCCTACCTTCCGCGGCCTAGACGGGGCCGCCACCGTTTGATGGCGGACGCGGTGGGGCTGCAGGGGAAGAGGAGTGTCGGTGTTTCGTTGCCGCTCTCCCTGTCCTCTGCAGCCGATTGGAGGTGGCCCACTTCGGTGGGCGGTGGTTAGGTTTAATGGGGCTGCTCCGGGTACCTCTCTGGCGTAGCAGAGTTGACTGTGGAGCAGCCCCATTGGTTTGGTGGTCTGCCTAGCGCTTAGGCAGACCTGCCGCCGGGGCGCCGTAGTAGTTATGCGCAAGCGATCCTGCGGCGTCCCATTAAGGCGGAGGGGAGGGGAATGTCGGGTTTTAGTGGGTAGTACCGGCTCTTCTAGCCGGTGAGCCCCACATCACCACCTGGGGGATCAGGTGGTATGCGTAAATGCATTTCCCGACATAAAAAAAAAAAAAAAAAAAAAAAAAAAAAAAAAAAAAAAAAATGACTAAGATACAATACTGTATGTATTGTATCATTGGATATACATGATATACTTTGACCAGTGTCCGACTCTACATAGTTAGTTGGGGGACCATGGTACAAAATTGCAACAATTTATTTTAACAAGCTTTATAAACTTACTTAAAATTGAGGTCATGTTTATACCTATACCATCTGTTCCCGACATACACTAAGATTAGAGTATAAATTAAAGGTTTTTTATATATTTTTATCATACTTAATAAATAGGCTATAAGTAAAGTCCAAAAAACTAACTTTTAGAGCAAGAAATAATAAATTATCTTTTTTTACTAACTGATGCGGCACCGGCGAATCACAACTAACTTCACCTTGAAGTTGACAGAGGATGCTTCGACTACCATAGATAATATTATTTTAAAGCGCGGACGTTTTGTACAACACTGTCCAAGGTTCAACAGGTTCCCCTACATGTTTTATAATAGCTGTGTGTGTGTGTGTGTGTGTGTCTCCGACTGCATAATCCTATTTCCTTCGTCAACTTGTTTTCATCTTTTTAGTTCGCTTTTTACGAAGTCAGGTTTTTATTTCTGTAAATATTTTTTTTATTTGTTGTTTTTAAGCATTTCTCATTTCAAATTACATTTAAACATATACGTTGTATATATTTTTGTAAGTTTTTTATAAAACTCTTTATTCTGATATCCCACTCGATAGGTTTTGAAAAAAAAAATTTTTTTGATACATATATAGCGCCAAAAAACGGCTATTTTGATTTGTATAATTTTGATATACCTAGTGTCACTCTCACAATTATGATGAATCTAACGACACCTCTCAAGGTAAAATCCACCTAAAAATCGATCGAAATCGTTCTAAATAAATATACGTACACACTCGAAAAACATAACCCTCCTTCTGGCGCAGTCGGGAAAAACAGACAATTAGCAACATATGAGTTTACAAAACAAATTACGTTTGTTTGTTATTTTTAAGCAGCATAATATATTACCGATTAGCAAATTAGTTGATTATACCTATCCACGATTTTAAAAATATGTTATTTTTAAAATTCTTTAATTAAATTTCCTTTTTGCTTTTACATACACGTGCATATAATTAACAGTAACGTTAATGTATATAACTTATATGTTTTTATTATCTATATTAATATTTTTCTCATAAAAATATTATTAAATATTTCTGTCTTTGTAACATTTCAACACAATGTCTTGTAGCTTCAAAATAAAAAATAAGTATATACATCGATGTAACAAATTCTTCTTAAAAGAAACATTAGAACACATTATTTCTTTTTTACTAATAAATAACAATATCGTAAACGAAGTAACATCCTTTTACGATAAAAGGAAAGATTGTTTGTTTATAAGTTACTTATAATGCGGCAATTTAAATTCAGCCAACGATTTTTTCCTCGACACCTTGATAGTATATGTACATATATATTCTAAATATCTATGTATATAATTATATCTGTTATTGAAAATGAAATGAACAAATTTACATAAAAAGCAACTTTAATAACTTTAATTTTTAATTATTTAAGCATAAAAAATAAGATATCCAATAAGACACTAAACATTCCTTTTTTTATTTAGACTAGGTAATGAATCTCACAAATCGAAACAAGTACATAAAACAAAACCAATATGGCGAGAACGATTCAATCTATATCTCTATGAAGATAACGCTTTAGAGGTCAACGTCTGGCACAAAACAAAACAAAAAAACTTTATGGGCAGGTAAGGTTATTTGGTTATATTTATTTAAGGCTTCTTTTGTGTTTTTTACAATATGTATTCTTTATAGTAAATTGTATAATAATAACGCAATTAAAGATTTTTTAAGCAGAACATAATTTACGCTGGCATAATCTTAATATAACTACTTTAATTTGCGTTAACTGACAGTATAAGCACGGTAAGATTATGCATTACATTACCGTGGTATAAGTATTTGCCTGGATATTTACCAAAATTTGACGTCATTAACATAAAAGTAAATTCAGTATATAAAATTGTTATTCATATGTTCCATGAATGAGAAATGACTTAAAGCATTCTGCAACGTAAATCCATAGAAAACCAATAGAAAATGTACTATTAGGATGTTAGAAGAGTCTTTAAGAGTGAGATTCATAGCCCTTTGCTAAGTAAACTTTGCATTCCGAAGTTCAATTACATATTTTGATTTCTCAGTCGTTAAAGTTGACATTTGCATATGACATAATAGGTCGTAGGGGAATGTAAAATGGGAAATGTATGCAAATGTCAACTATATAGACTCAGAAATTATTTTTTTTATTATTATTATTTATTATATAATACTATTGGTTCTAATAATAATCACGCGGATACGTAATTTATGCGGATAGCCGATTCAAAGTTTACAAAAAAACCACTAATGCTTGCTCTGCCTTTACTAGGCAAAGTACGGTTTTCTAAAATAAAATAAACGTTTGGTAGGACTATCGTACATTTATTATGCTAAAAGTAAAACTTTGTCAAGTGCGATCTATGATTTTTTTTTTTAACGTTGGGAAATGCATTTACGCACGACGTGTGGGACTCACCGGCGTAATACAGCCAGTACTACCCACTAAAACCCAACAAAACCTTCCCCCGTCTTAATGGGGCGTCGCAGGATCGCTTACGCATTCAACTACGACGCCCCGACGGCAGGTCTGCCAAAGCAGACCAACACAACCATGGGGTTGCTCCAAGGTCCACTCTGCTATCAGAGAAGTACCAGGAGCAACCCGCATGGTACACCGCCCCCCGAAGAAGGCCACCTCCCACCGCCCACCGAAGTGGGCAACCTCCCTGTGCGTTTCTTAGCTTCGCTACTACTACTGAGCCCCCCCCCCACCACGACAAGATGAACGCACGTTGGGGGGGATGCGATCTATGAATCTCACCCTACCCTACATATGATGTTATGTGGTTATTTTTTGTTAGGAAAATTTCTATCCACGTAATTGGAGGACTCACGTGTTAAAACTATAACGCTGGGTTCACACGGCATTGTCCTGCACGTTTTTTGCAGTATACGTCTTACCGAATACATAGTGGCACATACATTGTACATAAAACCGTTCACACGTCTTTTGTACTGTAAAAAATCATAATCCGTTTATACGTTTAACCGAATACTCACCGGACTTGACAAGCAAATCGAATAAACTTTAACGAATTCGGTTGGCAGTGGCGCATAGTTTAGCTGTCTCTTTCACACAGCACGATGCCATACGTTTTTAATCGAATACCAACCATGAGCGCCTTCGACACTAACATGAAAGAACAACCACGCGTGGATCCATCAGTGACGTCTTCTCACTATGATAACGTGTGAAAACTGCGAATATTCGTTTTTACACGAATGAAAATCTACCACATGAACACCCGGCTGATTGTACGTTTAAAATTGAAAACTAAAAAAAAACGTGCAAGACAATGCCGTGTCAACCCAGCATTACAGTACCAATAAACGTACACAAAACGAATGACATAAACCAAGAATCAAATATGTGATCGTAAGTTAAGAATGCTATAGGTATATACTCGTACGTGCTCAAGTAATTATATTGAGCTATAAATTGGCTTTTTTGTTAAAATGACTTGCTTGTTTACTTCTTTTAGCATAATTTATATAAGTTATATAATATAGACTGCTATTATAGAAAATAGAGTCATCACCTAGCACTTAAAGTACGATTTGTGATCGTTAAGGATATATACCACACAGAATAAAATATCGACCTTTTATATGATTACTATTGCTTATTAAAGACAAATTATAATATTGTACTTAATAATACCTTACTTACTCAGTTCATATTATCAAAATAACAGTACGGATTGAGGTGTCATTTTGGTATGCATTCTGCAAACTTATGTTGGGGGACGCGCAAGAGATAGTTAACGAATCAAGGCGGATCTCTACTACTATTCAATTTTTTTTATTTGTTTCAAGATGCGTAATCGATCTCTCACAACTAGAAAAGGAGAGAACACACGATATATGGCAGAAGTTAGAATGTGGTTTTGGTTCAGTACACCTACTAGTCACGCTCAGTGGATCAGATAGGTGTGTGCCTCCCGACAACGTACTAACTACGACGAATGGTATCCAAAAAGACGCACCTACAGATGACAAATTCGTAAGTAGACACTTGTATACTTCTCAATATGATTTGACAACAACCATTTGTCAGGATAGTTCAGTCAATGATCAGGTTTACTTCCTAAATGTCAAGGAGAATCCCAAAAAGGTATTGCTTTATAATTTTATAACAGCTACTTTTGATCGAGAAAAGATACATTCGAAAAAGTGGTTTTAGATAACATGTTCCAATATTGTAATGCGCGCGACCGCACAAGGTCATAGAATTTCCACGTTTTCAAATTTAAAAATGAAGAACCAAAAAGATCTATAAATAAAAAAATCTTTTCTTTCCGCTCACCTTTAAGGCTTTAATATAAGTCAGTGAAAACATTTTGTGTTTTCATTAAATAGAAAATTGAGTGAATTATTAATTTAGCCAATTGCCACAGTACCTACGGCTTATAATAAATCCCCATACAAATAAAAAACTTTAATTTATACACTAACGTTTGTTTAAGTAATAAATAATATACTTGACTTTTTGCGCATTACATTTTAAATATTCAAAGTGTAAAAAACTAAAGCTCTTGTAAAGAGTATCTGTAAGAGCCTTCAGAGTTACTTTGGTGACGCACATACATATTTATGCATATTTCTTGTACTAGCTAAACTCATGGAAAAAAACATGAACATATTAGTAAAAACTTATACCTTATATATTATAATAATATATAGGTACTTTATACCCGCTGGGTGCGTATGGCATAGATTGTGTGAGGACACAAGACTGATGTCAGCCCTCACTGCGGACAATGCAGAAATAAGGGCGGCTCTTTATCACTTAATTTTTACCCTTTATTAAAGTTTGTGGTTGAAAAATAATATTATGATTGAAAGCCGGTTTTCAACACGAATTCCATTTTTTATCTGCAAAATTAAATAAAGAAAATAAAAATTTAAAATACATTCGTAAATAATTATGTTAAATGGAGTTATTTTTTATTTCAGATGGTTATATATTTAATATGAATACTGATTTTTCATTCAATATTAATTTAACAATAAACATCTTGACAGATTTTAACACTGCTTAACCTACTTAATTCATTTGAGACTCGTTTTAGTTATTATGTTTATTATACTTACTTTCGTCAGCCAGGCATTTTTTTTAATTTAACGTACATTCTGTGTAATATAACACATTTTACATGGTAAAAATATTTTTTAAGATTATTCAATTTTTTATATAATTAATGGACATCTAATACATATAAAATATCTCAAAAGAGCTACCGTAAGTTGTATCAATAGGTGGCGCTGGGGTCACGCACCCAACGAATATTATGTGTCCATAACAAACGCTCAATACGTACACAGGCCCATAGACTGCCGACATATAAATACTCAAGAAACTTTAAAAGACAAAGGCCTTCTAACAAGTTTAATTAAGCATCTGTCAAAACTAATTAAAATAATCGATGGACAAACTTGTTTTTATTTCTTATTATTACCATGTTTTTGTTATTGCTTCCATTAAATACATAAATACCAAACATAGCACTCTACCTCTCTTGTTGGAATTTCTTAACTTGAATGTATAGTGGTATATAAGTTATATACATATTTAAAATAAATAATACATAATCCGTTGTTAATCAGTAAGTTTTTATTTAACAGCCTTGTTGCTTAGTAACCCTATTACAGAATGAAAAACTTAGCTATGTTTTGAAGTCAGAATATTTATAAACTCTAATTAAAAACATTTCATTCAATTGAGTATTTCGTCCCTTTTTGAAGTCAGCCTAAAACTATTCCTTTAAGAGGATTGTGAAGTGCCGATACGCGGCGAGAGTAGGTATTTTAAAAAATGCTATCTGTTTCATACCGCTTTGCATCCCCCCGGCAGTGAACAACACAAATACAACATACGCAAATTCTCACACACACTATGATAGCAGCAGCCGGTAACGCGCGGGCGCTCGCGGGGGGCGGGGGCGGTGCGACTCGGCGCAAGAGCAATTTCAAAGTTTATCTAATACTAGCATTGCCCGCGGCTCCGCCCGCGTTCAGATGACCAAAAACTAAATTCTTAGGTGTTACATATTAGTATACTCTTACATTGCAGTTTTTGTATTTTTCCTCAGAAATAAGATATTTTCCCGCGGTAAAAAGTATCCTAGGATCGCGCGCTACATCGCCCGGTTTATATAGCTTGAGCAGGCGGTCGAGCGATGCGGGGCAGAGGGGATGGACTCGCCGTAGGCATCTCAATGCTCGCCAAGCATTAAAAATGTTTCGCTACTAATTACTTCTAACAACGATATCTCAAAAACTATTCATCTGATTGATTTAGTGTAAAGAGCAATTTTAATCTGCATTAAATGACTAAGCTAACTAAAATATTCATTTGGATAAGGATTAATACCGAACTAAAGAAAATAACTTTGAAAATAACGTAATGTTTTTAATTAAAAATGTTAACATAAAAGTGGTTATTGTAAGTCAACCGTAAGAGATAGAGATATGCTATCGCGGACTTTTTTGTAGCATTTTTATAGATTTTGAATTCTCTAGTACATTACTTAACTGTATCTTTGCTAGTTTACGCGGCGTTCGCGTGGAAAGTTCCCATTTGGCGAGATTTTTTGCGACCTCTTCAACATTTGTCGCCGTATTTCAGCTAATTTACATAAAAGCATAATAAATTATATACCTAAACCTTCCTCAAGAATTACTCTTTCTATTGTTGAAAACCGTATAAAAATCCGTTCAGTAGTTTTCGAGTTTATCGCGTACAGACAGACAGGAGGACAGACAGGAGGACAGAAAGACGCGGCCGGGGGACTTATTTTTATAATAAGTATAGATTTATTATATATTTTAACGGTTTGCGTACAATATACATTCCCTACAAGTTACATCGCACCTTTATTCATAAACTGAAATAACTCTAAATTATAATTCTGTGGCGAATATCATTTAAAATTTGACTTGTTCAGATTGATGACTTCAAAAAATCATAAAAAAATAAATAGGTGGTTTAGATCAATTACAAAAATCTCGTTCCTAAAGTTGAAAGTTTTAGAATTTTTTGTTGTTTATGTACTAATAGACCCATCGGAATTCTTTTATTTTTAAAATATTTTTTTTATTGAAAACCTGAAGTTTTATGATTTTATAATGCTAGCAGGTATATAAGGAATAGAAATTCATAAAATGACCTGATCATGAATGATGATGATTTACGATTTTTTAACAAATCTATGACTAAATTTTATAAAATATATCAACTTTATTTTTTTAAATATATTTTTAACTAATGAATAAACAAGATTAGATTACGAATGAATTTCATTTCTTTCTGTAATTGGCCTAAAATCATTTTTTTTCAGAAAAATCAATAAAATTAACTCCAAAAACTAATAAAATATCGATAAATTCGAAAAAAATATAACGAATAGTATGTGTGTATATATAATTATAACGAATATAGAATTAAAAATATAAATTTTACAAAAATAAAAGTATTTTTATTGCTCCTTCTAAACGGTAATAGTCCAGCAATTAGCAAAAGAAAGCGCGTGACCGGTGGAGGGCCAGATATAATGATGATGATGATATAGAAAATATTTTTATTTTTGTATGAAAATGAAAATTTAAGAAATATATTTTTTTCTTGTTACAGAGGTTGTTGCTATGATGTAAATAGTATATTCCCAAAAGGTCTTCAGTAAATTAAAAATGACCCTGTATATATATATATATATATATATATATATATATATATATTATATATACATATTTTCAGTTTTGTATTTTTCCTCAGAAATAAGATATTTTCCCGCGGTAATCCTATAATATGTTGATCCGGATAACCAGCTGCCACCATACCAAATTTCATCAAAATCCCTCCAGTGGTTTTTCTGTGACGTGGTAACAGACAGACAGACATACAGACAGACAGACAAAAATTCAAAAACTATAGATTCGGCCTGTGTATCGATAATAATGTTTATTTCAATAATATTTTCCAAAAAATATTTAATGTACAGATACGGCTTAGTTACAATCTATACATACGAGTATAATAAAATTCTAAACTTTGGATTGAATCCTTTCAGTATCGATCGATATATCGATATTACCTTCTCCTCCCTAGGAGATAATAATATCGATAGCACCTTCAACATCACTACAGTCTACAATATGCCCCTGCCCCCGACCCGTATGGTGCGATAGAGAGAGTTGCAAGTCTTAGACTCAATTACCTACATTTCCTTTTTGAAATATTGTTTCGGGCGATAACGTTTTCACCCCCCTAAACATTAACGAAATGAGACGATTTTGGTCTCATTAGATTCAGTACACCTTAATCTAGGTCTGTACGTTTTCCTTTTTTTGTAATTCAGTTTAGTTTAATTTAAAAAAATAAAAACGCTGGAGGAAGTTTTTAGGCCAAAAATATAGATATTTAGATGCTAATAACTTCTATCGTACGCAATATTTCTAAAAAATAAAAACGTACGGACCTAGATTTTGATTATATCTACAACATTTCCAAAAATTATGAAAATTAGACTATGTTTAAGGGGGAAAAAACGTTTTCGCTTTTTGTATGAAAATTTACAGGTTCACAATCCTCTTAATTGCTATTATCTTCCAAATCTATATCGTTACATACCTATTTAAAGTACAATTTTTAACTTAGTAATAGGTACCATTTAATAACCTGTATAGATGATATAATATGTGTACTGAAATGAAGAAGATCAAAATGTACCTACCTACCTACCTACCTATCTTGTAAAATGTTATCTTAATTTTTTTAAATTATATTGCTTAAAATATTTTCACTTATTTTAATCTCACAATGATAATTATTAGTTATTACAATTGTAAGCTTAATAAGGTCATTTATAGTTGCCGGTTGCCGGTCCAAAGTTGGACATGAAATTGGAAAGGCCTGATAGCATACATATTTTAGTACAATAAACCCATTAACAAATAATACGCATTTTGCTTTTTCCGTATGAAATTTTGACTCATAAATATTCGGAAATGCGTAGTTCATTTATTACTAATGTTTTATTTTTTATTACTTGATGTTAGAAGTAATTCAAAATTTTCAGCTATGGTACAGACTGAATAATATAAGCGAAGTTGGACAACTGTCAGTCACAGTGCACGGTGCAAGAGGCTTAAGTGCTTTGAACATCAGTGGCAATGTTAACGCGTTTTGCATATTAGAGCTTGACAATGCAAGAATACAAACGCACACTATACGAGGTACTTCAGAACCTAATTGGAATAAAAACTTTACGTTGTAAGTATTCTTGCTTATGTAATTAATTGTATTTTACTTATATAATTAATTAATTTGCTTTGGTATTTATAAAAGAAGATATGATAATATCAGTTACATAATTAAAGAAAAACATAAAACAGCCCTATAGGTTTTCTTATAACATGATTTGAAATGTATGACCACATCCTGATCGTGACTCATAGTAGTGAGGTCAATATAAAAATTTGCCCCGAGAGGAATACGAATCGGCGACCTGCTGCCTAAGCTCTGACCTCCACATTAGGCAACTTTCGCAAAAACGCTTAATAATAAAATGAGTTAAAAAAACAAAATTGTGAGGCTCAAATGACATTACGTTAACTCAACGGTACTTAGTGTTTTGATTTTTAGACGTATGTACGAGTACTTATAGATTCCTATGTATTTATCTAAACAGGTAAATATCGAAAAGTATCAGTCCTTATATAATCTTTTTATGGTCAAAATCTCAGTATAATTATAAAATAATTCAGATCTTTTAACATCCTACTACTGGGCACGGGCCACCCCTAAATGTGAGACGGTTACTAAAGCAGAACTATTTTATATTTTTTCATAACATATCCATATAACCTAACCGTTTAGTAATACTAACCTAAGACTATATTATAACGAAGATCTGTTTGCAAAAATAAATCAATTTACAATTAAAGTAATTAAACTACTAACTAACGCTGGCCAAATGCCGATTGACAAACTTCACATGTCTTTCGAGAATTAGTTAGTTTCTTTCAGATATTAAGGTTTCCTTACGATGTTTCGCTTTACAGTTAGGTGCATTGTAATCGTGCTGAAAATGATTAACATGTGCGAGACCCAGGGGTTTTTAAGCGAGCGCGTTACTCATAGTGCCTATCAGTATACAAAGTATAAATTTTACATTTTTCTTAATTTTATATATCAGTAAATTAGAATTTACTGATATATAAAATATAACAAAAGTATATTTTATTATTATACTCATTTCCACGTACTTCACCTTATGAAAAAGACCAGCAATTCATAAAATCATAATAGCATTTATTTATATTATGTAACCTTGTCATTGCAGAAAGCACTGTCCGAGGTCGCTTATGTATTAATTGCTAAAGGCAAAAAATTAATGTATCATAAAATAATTACTTCATATTATATAAATTATTTTCTTGTTAATATAAAATAATAACTATGAATACTATAAAAATGATATACTATATCTTTTTGTGACTATTAATAACTATTTTATTATACAGCTTTATTTACTAGCTTTCCACGTAAATGGAAACTAGTTTCTTTGTTTAACTTACTTAATGGTAAAACCCAACAATCAGTGTTTTTCTGTGATGCATTGAAATATACTTTTAAATTAAACAATTTATTGATCTCTTTCTCATAAAAATATCATGATGAATTCATGATTGTCAAATAAGTAGTGATTTTACAAGCTAGCGAAATTAATCATCGTAATGCACAAAATATGAGGCCGGCGGGCACTGCCTTCAATACTGAAAGTCACGGGTTTGATTTTAATTGTATAAACAAACTCACAAACAAATTGTAGCATTAGTTACCGACACTACTATACACTATATTAAAATACACTATGAGTATTAGGTACTATCTCAATACTTTCGATTACGATATTTTACAAGGGCAAGTTTTTTTTTGTTTTTCATTGAGTTTGGCACTATAATCACAACAAATTAAACGCTTGTTTGTATTTTCAATCATCTTTTTAATATATTACGTTTCTTATATTAATAACCCGCGTAATAATATCTCTACCAACCCCTCGAGTGCCCCTAAAATTTTGTTATTGTAACGCTTTAATTCGTTAACAAAATATTTAATTAGTTTGCTTGCTCAATATTGATTTAAATGTACATTTGTTAGTTGAAATAATATTGTGTAACTTCTTTCAGCGGCGTAAAGGATGTCACCTCCGCTCTAGATATTACGGTATACGATGAGTCAATATTACAATCCATGAAGGGTGAGAATATTGGTAAAGTATCAATACCGCTCTTAAGGATAAGTAACAATGAAAAGAAATGGTATGCTCTCAAGGACAGATCGAAACGACATAGCGCGAGAGGTAACTGCCCGAGGATTCTATTGGAGATGTCACTTGTATGGAATCCCGTAAGTAAATTTACTTAAGTCGGACACGTGTAGATAAGTTGGGTATATTTTCCGAATTTAAAAACTTGTGAGAGGAATATACATAAAATATAAAATTAGTTTTTATTCGATTCATTAAGAGATTCAGCGAAAAAAGTCTATATCAACTAGACAGACCAATAGACAGACATGTAATTATAAAAAACGAAAGTCTTATAGTCTTATATAAGTTCCGTTTTTTACAGAATGTACGGAACTTGAACTGAAACACACATTTCTTGTATGATTTTTAATATCGTTACTATCTTGCAGATAAAAGCATCATTGCGAGTATTAGGTCCAAAGGAAACGAAATACGTTCAAAAACCAGCGAAATTCGATATACCACTCATATACAGCAATCTTGTGTTTATTAAGGATATATTTAAAGTATTTCAAACCGGAAATGAGCATTTGAAGTAAGTTTATTATTCTATTGTTCTCTGTGATGCATATTTATGAATACTTATCATATTTCGATTTACAATGAGGCCGATGAACTAAAAATGTAGTTCATAGGTGTAAGTTTCCCGAGCCTAGAAAAACATTGTAACATCCTCAACAATAATAAAAAGTCTGACGTAAAATAAGTTCTATAACTGGTAAAGCTGCCATTTACGTGTGAACTTTTCCAACGAATTGTATCAATTTTTCCAATCATATGACGTAAACAAAGAAACGTACGTCATACGCTTGAAACGGAATAGCGGACCAAACACAACAAAAAACTTATAAAAGAATATTACGAAGGACCTGTTTTATGTAGGTACTAGCGGACCCGACAGACGTTGTCCTGTCTACACGTCTTTAATTTGAAAATTTCAAACTTTTTTTAATAATTTTTTTGATGAAAATTATTATTCAAATTGTGAATCTAAACCATTCCCAGATCCCCTTGAACACACACAAAAAATTTCATCAAAATCGGTCCAGTCGTTTGAGAGAAGTTCAGTGAAATACACACTCACAGAAGAATTATATATATAAAGATAAGCAACACCGGATTGGTCCAAGTTAATAAAAAAAAAGTTTAGCAAAGTTATGAATCATGTATGAGTCTGCACATCAAATGCTTACGTTATTAAAAATAGTACCTTAAATCACGAATAAATATGTCACTCATTAAATCTATAAAACGATAACTTTATTTACAAAAAAAAAGTACAAATATACTTATATATATACAAAACATATGTACACTTAGTTAATACTGTACAAGTCATGTCCGCGTGGAATAGTGGCAAGAATGCTAGCCGCATTCCCCTGTTGAATGGCAATGCCGATTCTTTGGGCGAAAAATGCGCCAGCTCTCCTGTCACCAGTAGAGGTTTTAAGACGAGGTGTTGTCTTTTAAGAAAAGCTTAGCACTTTGACTCCATGGGCCAAGGGTTTCTACAGCAAAATAAAATAATCCTTTTATATGTATACAATAATTATTTTTTTTTATATTTTTTTCTTTTTTAATTCTAATTAATTAATTAATCACCACATAAAAGTCTTCAGCAATGATTACATTTTTAACAATGACCATAATATACCTATTATAAATAATATTAATTATAATGCAGTTACCACGTTTATTACTATAATAAAACATGCTATCGTAAAGTGTAGTAATATTCCGCTTATTAGCTTTATGAAGCTTTTATAATCTCGGTTAACCATATATACTTTGATACCTACCATTTATATTAAAAAAACTTTGTTTCTATGATTATATTTACTCTTATAAGTAGGTATAAGAAGACGTGTATATCGTAAATTTGAATTTTATTAAGTTGGCCAATAAATCAATGAATAATAATAATACATAACAACACATGTAGGTACATGTAAAAGGGAATCATGATCTAGGTATACCTACTAGTTTTTGTCCGTGCGGTAGTTAGGTACATAGATAAATGTGCGTAAAAAAATATAAAATGCTTAGGTGTTAAAATAGAATCATCTGCATTTTACATTAAAGTTGTTCAACTGTTACAGCTTCAAAAAATAATAAACAAGTTTTGTTTATGACTTTTGACATATACATCCACACACACTCGTTTTACGCATATCCATACTTCCATACTAATATTAGGTATTATAAATGTGAAAGTGTGTTTGTTTGTTTGTCCTTCTTTCACGTGGAAACAGAGTGACGGGTTGGCATAATTTTTTGTATGGAGATAGTTGGACAGTGACAGAGGCTATTTTTTACCGCGGGAGATTATCTCATTCCCACGAGAATACCTACACGTTATAGGTAATACAACCCAAAAAAATATCTATGATCAGAATTATTTGAAACTTGGTAAAAATGTTCTTCAATGCAATTAAATAAATACGGGTTTATAGGTAAAATATGGGATGAAAGTTTGTATGAAACTTATCTTTTTAGAGTTTTTTTTGTAGTTTTAGCGCGAGCGAAGCCGCGGGTTCTGCCAGTTTAATATATTTTGTGTAATTAACGAAATGTCATCCGTTGTAGGAGGTTATTCGAATGGGAGAATCAGGAAATTTCAGCCGCGGCGCTGGTCGGGTGGCTCATCTTTTGGTATTTCTTCCGAATGTGGATGACCCCTCTTTTGCTGGCTTTACCCTTCGCACATTACTGGCTCTTGCAGAGAAGTATGTTATTGTTTTGAATCGTTTTAGTTTAATATAATCGGAGGAAATAACTATGACACAGTATTTATATAATTATATTCGCAAATATATAAAAATACAATAATAAAATTAAATAGGTATTACATTAATTCAATTCAATTCTCTTGTTTATGTATTTCAAAACCGGCCAATTAAGCATAGATTACTTCGCCAATGTCACGAAGAATGGAAAAACACAAAGGAGATTGGTCGGTAAAATAAGGTTATTATACTAGATTAAATTATAATACGTACAAAATGAAGTAAATCATTTGTAAACCTTGGACCAATATTTGTAATACAAATTACATTATTTACTTTTTAGTCAACAATAACTTCAGATATAGGGCCGATCTCAATATCTATATGAATAAAAATTATTGTTGTTTAAGCGCAAAACTCGAGAACGGCTCGACTAATTCAGCTATTTTTTTTTCGTATGTTCCATAATGTACACGAAAGGTTTTAATAAGGAGAAAAAAATCTTTACAGATAAATAAAATTGAAGTGTCTGTTTGTAATGTCAAAATAACAGCGTTTTACTAAATGTATAAATTATATACGGTACTTATAAGAAAAACACAATTTTTAAAAATTTTGTCAGTCTGTCTGTCTGTCCGGATAATCTCTGAAATGGCTGGACTGCTTTTGCTGGGACTTTCACTGAAAAATAGAATAAGACTGGAAAACTGGAAATAGAAAAAGAATTAGGGTTCCTCTCAAAAAAATTAAAACGTACCTAGGGACGAACCCGAGTGAAGCGAGGGTGAGTCAATAGCCTTCAATATCTCTTTCTAGCAGTAGCAATATGATAATTTGTATGAACCTAACATGAACCTAATCACAAAATATGTCAAATTTCTATCTCTAGTAAACCCCAAATACATAAATTATTGAGACGCACCCAGAGTGAAGTAATTGTCCCTTGTAAACTTATAATGTCATCCACCGGCATATTTGGCCGGGATTTTCATTTAGAATTATTTCTCTACAATTATATTTACATTTATCTAACGTTTTGACTTCTCCTATTACTGTGATGTATTTTGTATTGTAAGTACTAAATAATTATTTTTGGATTATATTTAGCCATGCACACGAAAACCTAATTTTAAAATAAAAAAATTTGTACCATATTATTGCAGACAACAATAGCCAGATTCCCATACAGCAAATAGACGAGGTAGACAATATAGAGGAGGAACCGGAAGCAAAGGTAAATAAATACATTTTTTGCTATATCAAAATGTTCGTTATTATAAGTTTGATATATTGTGCGTGTTAATTAATGATTCATTCTATGAAAGAGGAAAAACATAACTTTTTTTCTTATATTGACGCACTCTTGCAGGAAAACAATATAGTTAGGTACTGACAATATTTGGCCATACGCAAATTTGAAATATGAATTAGTAATTATTGAGTAATAATTAGTGAATAAAGCTTATTATACCGTCATAGAAGACTTCGTAGATGTTAATGTGTGGCGTTAATGTCTGGTTGGATCTCACGTAGGATAAGTAGATAATTATTGCATTAGACTCATGACGTTCAGTAAAAAATTGTAATAATTTAATGCTTAATAAAATATTTTGATTTGATTTGAATATATATTCAAATACTATTAAGTAATAAATATAAAAATTAATAAATATTAAAATGGTGTACAGATTCGACTTAGTTACAATTATTATATGTATATAGATTTCTGCAAAAACTTTTTGATATTCATGAAACTAGGGGAATATAATCTTCAGAATACATATAATAACCATTCATTTTTAAATTGAAATGTTTATACGTTTATTCCTTCCTTTCTTAGACTTCAAACTACTCTAAAAAGTATATTTGGGTTTGGGGGGGTCATGACCCCCATGACCCCCCCCCCCTGGATCCGCGCTTGTGTTAATTTTAAAGTTACAAATGTTGAATTCATGAGTGAATGTCCGAAATTGTGACCTTTAATATAAAATATAAATATCAGTAAGCAGTTTATAAAACTGTTACTTTTCTTCTTCTACCTTTACTTCAAAATAAAATTTTAAGATCGGTAACCGGGTTAAATGGTAAGAGATAAAGACATCACTACGTATAAGGGATGAGGATATTATTATTTTCACCAAATAACGCCACAAATACCAAAATTAGCAGTGTCTAAAATTGTGAAGGTAAGGTTGAATTTAAGGAAATAAAAAAAATGCGGATATAAAAATTTAGAGGTGTAGCTGTTTTTAACATATTAATAGGTAATATTTATAGAATAAGACAAAAACGCATAATTTATCAAAATAAAAGTCCTTGGCAGTTTTGACGATGACGAAATTTTTACATTTTAATATTTAAATTATCCATTTTAAATATCAAATAATGTATTAATTCTACCAATAAATATCTAAATAAGGTACTATTCACAGCGCGTATTGCATAACATTAACGTTAATTGCGATTTTTTGTAACTTCTTAAATGTTAAAGGCAGATAGAATGAGACGTTTTCATTTTTCTCGACAACTGTTGTTAATCCACTGCTGTGCGAAACCACAGACATGGTTATATTGTCTGTGTCCGAAACGCACTATTTATTATTTATTAAAGTATTTGTCATAATAACAGAATTGGAAATTTTTATTTGTTCATATTGTTCACACATCACAATAAAAAGGTCTTTCGTTACATATGTTTCTGATACAAATGATACAAAAAAGAAATAAATTAGCAGTTAAATATGTATGTGATAACAAGTACCCGTTTATTAAACTGTCAATTTATAAGATTGTATGAAATACCTATATGACGCGGAAGTACTCGTAATAGTACTTATTTACTTCATTGTTTCAGGATGACAAAACGATAAAAACTCGCCTCAACGAGCTCCAAGATCTCACTTTAACAATCAAGAATGGCATCGATTATGTAGTTTCATTGCTAGAAAGGATAAACAAGTTAGTAATATTCATTACAATATTGTTTTATGAATATAAGTGTTAGATTTAATTTAGTGATTTTAGACTAAAGAACTAATATTTATTTAATTATATCTATACAATTATAAGATAATGAAGAACGATTGCTGATGCTTTAAGTATAACTATCTCGCTTCTATTTATATTTTCTTCTATCTCTCCTTCATTGTTGTTGACGATTGAATTTTACTCGTATTATAAAGATTTTTTCCCTATTTATTTTGTCACTTTAAATAAATGGCGGACTTCCTCTTCCCTTCTTTCTTGCTACGAGTACCACCCGTACTTCGCATTTAGTTTTATGAAATAATTACTATCTAGTAATTTCATAAAGCTGAATGCGACGTAAGTAGTTTAGAAATATAGATAGCTATTAGAAATAATTAAATAATGAATCGATTCGATTAATTTTATAATCTATAACTAACTACTAATCCGATTTAAAAAATTCTTTTTCATTAGATAGCCAGTTTATTGAGGAAGGCTAGGCTGTATGTCATATAGTAGGCGAGCCCAAGAGGGGATTTTTGTAGTTACTCAAGCGCGGCAGATTAACATAAAAGAGGTTACCTTGCACTCTATTGAGTACTTTCACCATAATATAAGTCTTCTATATAAAGGCGCGCGTCTAGGGAAGCCGATCAAAATATTTAAAAAATGTTTTGATAAGGTAGAAATACTTAAACCGTCAGATTAAGGTGTGGTAGGCTAGTCGCATCCTGAAAAGTCTCCAATTCAATAATCTGCCGATTTGCACAAGCCGAAGAGGCAAAAATCGACTATAAAGTTTATGATGATTTGGCTAAGTAATTAAAGCCTACCTATTAAATACATACGTAATTAAATATTTTCGAAATCGGTGCCAGCCCATACAAAGCAAAGCACACCGACTTCGAATATATTTGATTAGGTTTGTATAGTAAATAAAAACTAAAAAACAGTTATTTTTTACTTTTTAGTGCTTTTGTTTTTAGTGCTTTTGTTTGAAGTCGGTTTTTATTTCTTTGTTAAAAAGTTTTTATTTTTCCCCTTTTTAGTGTAGACAGTAGTAGCAAAGTAAGAATTCTAACGTGTTAGGCTTGTCATATCAAAGAAAATAAGCCCAAACTCAAAGTATCTACTATTAGCCGTTGAAGAGTTCCACCTATCCACCTTCTGGCTTTACCATCAGATCAGGTCAACAATACCGAACCATTGTACTATCAACGGAAATAGAAACACTTGCAAAGTTTCAAGTCAGTATGACAATTAGAAGTAGGTTAAATTCATCATTAGCTATTTTTCCACCCTTAGGGGTGGTATTTTTTTTTTGACATTTAAATGGGACCAATCTGGAAGTATACACTTTCAAACAACATAAAAATTGTCTAAATCGGTTAATAAATGACGGAGTTCTGAGGTAACAAACATAAAAAAAAATTCAGTCGAATTGAGAACCTCCTCCTTTTTGAAGTCGGTTGAAAATAAACAAAGACTACATACACATAAAACACTGGCTTTATTTAACTGCTTACATAATTATTATTTATATTATACACTAGCATTGCCCGCGGCTCCGCCCGCGTTCCGATGACCAATAACCGTTGAGGAGTTATTGAGAACCTCCTCATTTTTTTGAAGTCGGTTAATAAGAGCCTGAAAGAATTTAACTGTCGGTCTATAATTACGTATAATATTGAAAGAATTTTCTTTTAACTCCTAACCGTTGAGGAGTTGTACCTTCCACCATTAGCTCAACCACAGGAGATGATGATTATCAGACGCAAATACTTGAACAGCTTTAGGAAATATATGAAAAACGTAATAAGTGCCTATAAAATTTGAGATTTGCCTTCGATTTCCCTGGGATCTCATCATCAGATCCTGACTTGGTGACTATGGGACCAATTTGAAACTATACCCTATCAAACAAAAAAAGAATTTTACAAATCGGTCCAGCCATCGTCGAGTAATCGGGGAACATACATAAAAAAAAAAGTCCCCGACGAATTGAGAACCTCCTCCTTTTTTTGAAGTCGGTTAAAAATAGGATATAGACCATTGTAAGTATGATTGAAATAGTATCTATTTTAATACGCAATGACTAATATGTAATTTAAATTTAGTTGATTGCAGTAACTACGAATAATTAATTCGTGTTAGAAGGTATAGTCGGGCCAAGTTTAGTTATTGAGTCTTTCTGTATAGTAAGTCTCAGTAACAGCCCGGAGTTGGGAAGTTGGCGGTGTTTCACTCCCGTGCCTCGGAGAGCACGTAAAGCCGTCGGTCCTGCGCCTTAACTCTCACTGGTCGTGTCGAGCAGTCGCCCCACCAGAGTATGAGAGTGACAGGAATAGAGAGTGCACTTGTGCACTTGTCAGGAGAACATCAAACCTCATTCGCTTCTTCCATTGTTATCATTCTCTTCACACACGTTTATGAAGTCTCTAATCTCATATTTTTGACCTTCTTTAAATAATTAAAATACTTGATCTTCAAAAGTCTTCCGAGGTCTCCCCCTATTCCACCTTCCATTCACTCTTCACAGTATATCTTCTGGACCATTCTGTTATCATTCATTCTTTCTAAGTGCCCAAATCACTACTTTCGATACCAAATTAGATAAAGATTCGATGACAGAAGTCATTAAATCGTAGATATAGAGTCTAAATGTTATTTTAAAACGTACCTTTTTCCTTATATATGCAATGGTAAATATAAAATCTATTATTTGTGGTTAGTGTAACTATTGATTTGTTATAAAAACATTATAAAGGTATACTTACTAGTTATGCTTATAAAAACCAATGGAAACTTTTCATGATGAATGATGATGATATTACAATATTTTATATAACAAAAACTAAGTACACGTAATGATCGCTCATACAAGAAAGATGAAGGATAATAGATTACGTCATTTTAAATGTCTACCTACGCAAAAATAGCAGTAACATTGAAAAATATCTGTCCGTAGAATTGAAAAACTGCTTTAATAATACATATAAGCCATATTATACATATAAGCTTATACACCTATTACAAATATATTTACATACATATTATTATATCTGATTTATTCGAGATATTTTATTTTATACTGCACTAGCGAATCACTCGCGCTTCGCTCGGGTTCGTCCCTAGCTTGCTACCCCATACAAACTTTCATCCCCATTCTCACCCCCCGGGGATGATATCCGGTATAAAAACTATTTCACTCACTCACTTTTTATATCACGAGATTTAAAAAATCTTATTTGAGTAAAAAAAATCTTTTCATTTTGTTCTATACAAAACTTTTTGACAATAACAACAAAAAGAAATATCCAATTTGGTGCAGTCGATCCGAAGTTATGCGCGTACAAACATTTCGGTGATTTATTTTTATTTATATAGACTTATGCGGGGTACTTATAAGATATGTAAATAAAACTATTGAAATATAAATAAACGATATCCAAAAAGGAGGAGGTTCTATGTTCATCTGTGTATAATATGTTTATATATTTAAGAGGATTGTGAAGTGCCGATACGCGGCGAGAGTAGGTATTTTTAAAAATGCTATCTGTTTCATACCGCTTTGCATCCCCCCGGCAGTGAACAACACAAATACAACATACGCAAATTCTCACACACACTATGATAGCAGCAGGCGGTGACGCGCGGGCGCTTGCGGGGGGCGGGGGCGGGGGCGGCGCGACTCGGCGCAAGAGCAATTTCAAAGTTTATCTAATATTTATTATTTTAACGGTTTGCGTACAATATACATTCCCTACAAGTTACATCGCACCTTTATTCATAAACTTAAATAACTCTAAATTACAATTCTGTGGCGAATATCATTTAAAATTTGACTTGTTTAGATTGATGACTTCAAAAAATCATAAAAAAATAAATAGGTGGTTTAGATCAATTACAAAAATCTCGTTCCAAAAGTTGAAAGTTATAGAATTTTTTGTTGTTTATGTAGGTACTAATAGACTCATCGGAATCCTTTTATTGTTAAAATAATTATTTTATTGAAAACCTGAAGTTTTATGATTTTATAATGTTAGCAGGTATATAAGGAATAGAAATTCATAAAATTACCTGATCATGAATGATGATGATTTACGATTTTTTAACATATCTATGACTAAATTTTATAAAATATATCAACTTAATTTTTAAAAATATATTTTTAACTAATGAATAAACAAGATTAGATTACGAATGATTTTCATTTCTTTCTGTAATTGCCCTAAAATCATTTTTTTTCAGAAAAATCAATAAAATTAACTCCAAAAACTAATAAAATATCGATAATTTCGAAAAAATTGTAACGAATAGTATGTGTATATATATATATATATATATATATAATTATACACATACTATTCGTAATAATTTTCATAAAATTATAACGAATATTATAAATTATAACGAATATAGAATTAAAAATATAAATTTTACAAAAATAAAAGTATTTTTATTGCTCCTTCTAAACGGTAATAGTCCAGCAATTAGCAAAAGAAAGCGCGTGACCGGTGGAGGGCGAGGGGTGGAGGGGTGTAGGAAGTGGTCCTTACTCATTCAAACTTGGCCAGATATAATGATGATGATGATATAGAAAATATTTTTATTTTTGTATGAAAATGAAAATTTAAGAAATATTTTTTTTTCTTGTTACAGAGGTTGTTGTTATGATGTAAATAGTATATTCCCAAAAGGTCTTCAGTAAATTAAAAATGACCCTGTATATATATATATATATATTTATATATATATATATTTTCAGTTTTGTATTTTTTCTCAGAAATGAGATATTTTCCCGCGGAAATGCTATAATATGTCGATCCGGATAACCAGCTACCACCATACCAAATTTCATCAAAATCCCTCCAGTGGTTTTTCTGTGACGTGGTAACAGACAGACAGACAGACAAAAATTCAAAAAACTATAGATTCGGCCTCTGTATCGATAATAATGTTTATTTCAATAATATTTTCCAAAAAATATTTAATGTACAGATACGGCTTAGTTACAATCTATACATACGAGTATAATAAAATTCTAAACTTTGGATTGAATCCTTTCAGTATCGATCGATATATCGATATTACCTTCTCCTCCCTAGGAGATAATAATATCGATAGCACCTTCAACATCACTACAGTCTAAAATATGCCCCTGCCCCCGACCCGTATGGTGCGATAGAGAGAGTTGCAAGTCTTAGACTCAATTACCTACATTTCCTTTTTGAAATATTGTTTCGGGCGATAACGTTTTCACCCCCCTAAACATTAACGAAATGAGACGATTTTGGTCTCATTAGATTCAGTACACCTTAATCTAGGTCTGTACGTTTTCCTTTTTTTGTAATTCAGTTTAGTTTAATTTAAAAAAATAAAAACGCTGGAGGAAGTTTTTAGGTCAAAAATATAGATATTTAGATGCTAATAACTTCTGTCGTACGCAATATTTCAAAAAAATAAAAACGTACGGACCTAGATTTTGATTATATCTACTACATTTCCAAAAATTATGAAAATTAGACTATGTTTAAGGGGGGAAAAACGTTATCGCTTTTTGTATGAAAATTTACAGGTTCACAATCCTCTTAATTAATAAATATAATTGTAATATTATGAACCTTTTAAGGTAGTTTAAGTTTCTATAGAAAGTCTTTAGATAACGTAATAGTTTTAAATGTTTTTATTTTTTGCAGCTTGGTGAACTTTAGTGTGCCTTATTTGAGCTACTTGGCTGTTATAACTCTCGTAGCTGCCTCATTTGCCTTCTACTTTATCCCCGTAAATTATTTATTTATGGCATTAGGTACGTACTTTTGTTTTGCTTGTAAATATAGAAGTATAAAAAATATTATTCCATAAAAAGTATAAAATATAATAAATAGTTCCTTTGTCTTAATAGTATTTTATTTCCATAGGTATTATTAAGTTTACACGAAAGTTCTTGAACCCGAAGAGAGTGCCGAACAACGACCTTCTAGATTTCATATCTAGAGTTCCAGATAATGAGATTTTGGTAAGATACTTATAATAAGTAATACTTCACAGTCTACTAATCCAATAGAGTCGTCTAAACAAAGCAATCGTAGAGGTGTGTTAAGATAGCAGTGAAAGGTTAGCAGAATCGTTCGAAACATATACGGTATTTTGTGGCTAATTTGTTGCTAATTAGTTGCTAAAACCCCGATTTTGTTGCTTTGTCCGATTTCGAAAAAAAGGAGTTACTGCTATCTTAACGTTAAGCTAGCAGTAAACTCAGCGTGACCGGCATGGATTAAATGCAATTATACATCAGTATTTGTTGCTAATTTGTTGCTGACAAATAGTGTAAAAAAATTTGAAAAAACCCTAGAATTGGCTAGACCTGGAGACCTGTAGCCGTATCCATGCTATCTTAACTTGCAGTTTTTTTAACAAGACGATGGCATGGATTTTGTTGCTGGACGCAAATAACATCAGAACACCCCAGAGAGCCAGCAACAAAATAGAAACTAAAATTCTGCTACACCTGGAGACCTGTAGCCATGTCCATGCTACCTTAACATGCACTTTTTTTAACAAGACGGCGGCATGGATTTTGTTGCTCATCATAAATAACACCAGGACACCCCAGAGAGCCAGCAACAAAATAGAAACTAAAAATCTGCTACACCTGGAAACCTGTAGTCGACTATAAGTGTTCATGCTAACTTAGCGTGCACTTTTTTAACAAGACGGTTGCATGGATTTTGTTGCTCATCGTAAATAGCACCAGGACACCCCAGAGAGCCAGCAACAAAATAGAAACTAAAATTCTGCTACACCTGGAGACCTGTAGCCATGTCCATGTTAACTTAACATGCAGTTTTTTGAAGAAAACCATGACATGGATTTTGTTGCTCATCGTAAATAACACCAGCACACCCCAGAGAGCCAGCAACAAAATAGAAACTAAAATTCTGCTACACCTGGAGACCTGTAGCCATGTCCATGCTAACTTAACATGCAATTTTTTTAAGAAAACCATGACATGGTTTTTGTTGCTCATCGTAAATAACACCAGGACACCCCAGAGAGCCAGCAACAAAATAGAAACTAAAAATCTGCTACACCTGGAAGCCTGTAGTCGACTACAAGTGTTCATGCTAACTTAGCGTGCACTTTTTTTAACAAGACGGTGGCATGGATTTTGTTGCTCATCGTAAATAGCACCAGGACACCCCAGAGAGCCAGCAACAAAATAGAAACTAAAATTCTGCTACACCTGGAGACCTGTAGCCATGTCCATGCTAACTTAACATGCAGTTTTTTGAAGAAAACCATGACATGGATTTTGTTGCTCATCGTAAATAACACCAGCACACCCCAGAAAGCCAGCAACAAAATAGAAACTAAAAATCTGCTACACCTGGAAACCTGTAGCCGACTATAAGTGTTCATGCTAACTTAACGTGCACTTTTTTTAACAAGACGGTGGCATGAATTTTGTTGCTCATCGTAAATAACACCAGGACAACCCAGAGAGCCAGCAACAAAATAGAAACTAAAAATCTGCTACACCTGGAGACCTGTAGCCGTATCCATGCTATCTTAACATGCAGTTTTTTTAAGAAAACCATGACATGGATTTTGTTGCTCATCGTAAATAACACCAGGACACCCCAGAGAGCCAGCAACAAAATAGAAACTGAAAATCTGCTACACCTGGAGACCTGTAGCCGTGTTCATGCTATCTTAACATGTACATTTTTTATGAAAACGATGACATAGATTTTGTTGCTGGACGCAAATAACATCAGAACACCCCAGAGAGCCAGCAACAAAATATAAACTAAAAATCTGCTACACCTGGAGACCTGTAGCTTACTACAAGTGTCCCTGCTACATTAACATGCACTTTTTTTAAAAAGACAGTGGCATGGATTTTGTTGCTATTTACAAATAACATCAGGACACCCCAGAGAGCCAGCAACAAAATAAAAATTAAAAATCTGCTACACCTGGAGACCTGTAGCTTACTACAAGTGTCCCTGCTACCTTAAAATGCACTTTTTTTAAAAAGACAGTGGCATGGATTTTGTTGCTGGACGCAAATAACATCAGGACACCCCAGAGAGCCAGCAACAAAATAAAAATTAAAAATCTGCTACACCTGGAGACCTGTAGCTTACTACAAGTGTCCCTGCTACCTTAAAATGCACTTTTTTTAAAAAGACAGTGGCATGGATTTTGTTGCTGGACGCAAATAACATCAGGACACCCCAGAGAGCCAGCAACAAAATAAAAACTAAAATTCTGCTACACCTGGAAACCTGTAGCCGTATCCCTGCTTTCTTAACATGTACATTTTTTATGAAAACGATGGCATGGATTTTGTTGCTGGACGCAAATAACATCAGGACACCCAGAGAGCCAGCAACAAAATAGAAACTAAAAATCTGCTACACCTGGAGACCTGTAGCCGTATCCATGCCATCTTAACGTGCAGTTTTTTTAAGAAAACCATGACATGGATTTTGTTGCTGGGCGGAAATCACATTAGAAGACCCCAGAGAGCCAGCAACAAAGTAGAAACTAAAAATCTGCTACACCTGGAGACATGTAGTCGTCTACCAGTGTCCAAAAGACAATAGCCGTTTCATGCTGTGCATCTTTATTTTTGAAAGATCTTGTTTTCATAATATTTGACAACTAACCCATTAAGTTTTCAAAAATTTATAAAGAACGGGATTTTAATAAGGTAACTAAATTCATACTTAAATGTACTTCTTTAATATTTTTTTTCAAGTAATTATTACAAAAGTTATGATTACATAAGTTATAAGTATGCAAAAAAAAATAGAAATCTTTTTGATTCTATTCTTATACATTTGTTACGAAAATTTAGAAAAGTTATTTAAAGCCGTATGTGGTCTATTTGTGCTAAATAGTTATATATTTATTTTGTTTGTATTTTGTTTTACTAAGGTACTTCTTAAGTAATTATATTGTACTAACCAACTATGACCCTATGTTGCTTGATAATAAAAGATTTTTATTATATTTTTTATAAAAGAAATTAATCGACAGTATTGAACAAGAGTTTTTATTCTAATTAGTATATTTACTCTGATTTATTAATTTAATTCCCTAATTGATTACAAAATTAAATTATATTAGGAATAACTTTTCTACATTATCGTAACAAATGTATAAGTAAGAATAGACTAAAAAAGATTTCTATTTTTTACTGCATACTTATACATCATAGCTTTTGTAATAACTTGATAAGAAAATAAATGAAGTACATTTTAGTAATAATTTAGTTTCCTCATTAAAATCCAGATCCTTATAAATTATCGAAAACTAATAAGTCAGTTGTCAAATATTAAGAAAACAAGATCTTTCGAAAATGAAGATACACAGCACGTAACGGCTATTGTTTTATGGACACTGGTAGCCGGCATGTAATTGACATGTCTCCAGGTATAGCAGACTTTTAATTTATATTTTGTTGCTGGCTCTTTGGGGTGTCATGATGTTATTTGCAACTAGCAACAAAATAAATGCCGCCGTCTTGTTAAAGAAAGTGTATATTAAGGTAGTATGGACATGATTACAGGCCTCTAGGTCTAGCAGAATTTTAGTTTTTATGTTGTTGCTGGCTCACTGGGGTGTCCTGATGTGATTTGCAACTAGCAACAAAATAAATGCCACCGTCTTGTTAAAAAAAGTGTATATTAAGGTAATATGGACATGGTTACAGGCCTCCAGGTCTAGCAGAATTTTAGTTTCTATTTTGTTGCTGGCTCTCTGGGGTCTTCTGATGTGATTTCCGCCCAGCAACAAAATCCATGTCATGGTTTTCTTAAAAAAACTGCACGTTAAGATAGCATGGATACGGCTACAGGTCTCCAGGTGTAGCAGATTTTTAGTTTTTATTTTGTTGCTGGCTCTCTGGGGTGTCTTGATGTTATTTGCGTCCAGCAACAAAATCCATGCCACTGTCTTTTTAAAAAAAGTGCATTTTAAGGTAGCAGGGACACTTGTAGTAAGCTACAGGTCTCCAGGTGTAGCAGATTTTAATTTTTATTTTGTTGCTGGCTCTCTGGGGTGTCCTGATGTTATTTGTAAATAGCAACAAAATCCATGCCACTGTCTTTTTAAAAAAAGTGCATGTTAATGTAGCAGGGACACTTGTAGTAAGTTACAGGTCTCCAGGTGTAGCAGATTTTTAGTTTTTATTTTGTTGCTGGCTCTCTGGGTGTCTTGATGTTATTTGCGTCCAGCAACAAAATCCATGCCACTGTCTTTTTAAAAAAAGTGCATTTTAAGGTAGCAGGGACACTTGTAGTAAGCTACAGGTCTCCAGGTGTAGCAGATTTTTAATTTTTATTTTGTTGCTGGCTCTCTGGGGTGTCCTGATGTTATTTGTAAATAGCAACAAAATCCATGCCACTGTCTTTTTAAAAAAAGTGCATGTTAATGTAGCAGGGACACTTGTAGTAAGTTACAGGTCTCCAGGTGTAGCAGATTTTTAGTTTATATTTTGTTGCTGGCTCTCTGGGGTGCTCTGATGTTATTTGCGTCCAGCAACAAAATCTATGTCATCGTTTTCATAAAAAATGTACATGTTAAGATAGCATGAACATGGCTACAGGTCTCCAGGTGTAGCAGATTTTCAGTTTCTATTTTGTTGCTGGCTCTCTGGGGTGTCCTGGTGTTAATTACGATGAGCAACAAAATCCATGTCATGGTTTTTTTTAAAACTGCATGTTAAGATAGCATGGATACGGCTACAGGTCTCCAGGTGTAGCAGATTTTTAGTTTCTATTTTGTTGCTGGCTCTCTGGAGTGTCCTGGTGTTATTTACGATGAGCAACAAAATCCATGTCATGGTTTTTTTTTAAAAACTGCATGTTAAGATAGCATGGATACGGCTACAGGTCTCCAGGTGTAGCAGATTTTTAGTTTCTATTTTGTTGCTGGCTCTCTGGGGTGTCCTGGTGTTATTTACGATGAGCAACAAAATTCATGCCACCGTCTTGTTAAAAAAAGTGCACGTTAAGTTAGCATGAACACTTGTAGTCGGCTACAGGTCTCCAGGTGTAGCAGATTTTTAGTTACTATTTTGTTGCTGGCTTTCTGGGGTGTGCTGGTGTTATTTACGATGAGCAACAAAATCCATGTCATGGTTTTCTTCAAAAAACTGCATGTTAAGTTAGCATGGACATGGCTACAGGTCTCCAGGTGTAGCAGATTTTCAGTTTCTATTTTGTTGCTGGCTCTCTGGGGTGTGCTGGTGTTATTTACGATGAGCAACAAAATCCATGTCATGGTTTTCTTCAAAAAACTGCATGTTAAGTTAGCATGGACATGGCTACAGGTCTCCAGGTGTAGCAGAATTTTAGTTTCTATTTTGTTGCTGGCTCTCTGGGGTGTCCTGGTGCTATTTACGATGAGCAACAAAATCCATGCCCCCGTCTTGTTAAAAAAAGTGCACGCTAAGTTAGCATGAACACTTGTAGTCGACTACAGGCTTCCAGGTGCAGCAGATTTTTAGTTTCTATTTTGTTGCTGGCTCTCTGGGGTGTCCTGGTGTTATTTACGATGAGCAACAAAATCCATGTCATGGTTTTCTTAAAAAAACTGCATGTTAAGTTAGCATGGACATGGCTACAGGTCTCCAGGTGTAGCAGAATTTTAGTTTCTATTTTGTTGCTGGCTTTCTGGGGTGTCCTGGTGCTATTTACGATGAGCAACAAAATCCATGCTACCGTCTTGTTAAAAAAAGTGCACGCTAAGTTAGCATGAACACTTATAGTCGACTACAGGTTTCCAGGTGTAGCAGATTTTTAGTTTCTATTTTGTTGCTGGCTCTCTGGGGTGTCTTGGTGTTATTTACGATGAGCAACAAAATCCATGCCGCCGTCTTGTTAAAAAAAGTGCATGTTAAGGTAGCATGGACATGGCTACAGGTCTCCAGGTGTAGCAGAATTTTAGTTTCTATTTTGTTGCTGGCTCTCTGGGGTGTCCTGGTGCTATTTACGATGAGCAACAAAATCCATGTCATGGTTTTCTTAAAAAAAACTGCATGTTAAGTTAGCATGGACATGGCTACAGGTCTCCAGGTGTAGCAGAATTTTAGTTTCTATTTTGTTGCTGGCTCTCTGGGGTGTCCTGGTGCTATTTACGATGAGCAACAAAATCCATGCTACCGTCTTGTTAAAAAAAGTGCACGCTAAGTTAGCATGAACACTTATAGTCGACTACAGGTTTCCAGGTGTAGCAGATTTTTAGTTTCTATTTTGTTGCTGGCTCTCTGGGGTGTCCTGGTGTTATTTACGATGAGCAACAAAATTCATGCCGCCGTCTTGTTAAAAAAAGTGCATGTTAAGGTAGCATGGACATGGCTACAGGTCTCCAGGTGTAGCTGAATTTTAGTTTCTATTTTGTTGCTGGCTCTCTGGGGTGTTCTGATGGTATTTGCGTCCAGCAACAAAATCCATGCCATCGTCTTGTTAAAAAAACTGCATGTTAAGATAGCATGGATACGGCTACAGGTCTCCAGGTCTAGCCAATTCTAGGGTTTTTTCAAATTTTTTTACACTATTTGTCAGCAACAAATTAGCAACAAATACTGATGTATAATTGCATTTAATCCATGCCGGTCCCGCTGAGTTTACTGCTAGCTTAACGTTAAGATAGCAGTAACTCCTTTTTTTCGAAATCGGACAAAGCAACAAAATCGGGGCTTTAGCAACTAATTAGCAACAAATTAGCCACAAAATACCGTATATGTTTCGAACGATTCTGCTAACCTTTCACTGCTATCTTAACACACCTCAATCGTAGGGAGCGCGCGAAGTGAGACGCAAGAAAGACGCTCGCGATTACCGGACGAACTTTTATTTGACATTCGGCTTTATAAAAAGGGGTTAGGGATTTTAGATAATGTCGTAGTGACTAGGGAAGAGACAATGTCCAAAAATGGCATTTTACATTTAAAAAAATGCTAAAAAATTATCTCTCCCGCTTACTAAATACTCATTTACCGTATTTTTAAAGAGAAGCTTAACTTATTTTGTATAACAATATAATATTCTTTTTGTTTCCGTATAATATTATAGACGTTTATTAAACTAAACAGTAATTATTTGGTGAGTTAGACATTTTTAGTTTTATTTAACAATTTCTTATCCTAAATTACTGTTAAACATATAGGTTGTGTAAGTATATTTTTATTATCGCCTCTTAAAAACCTGTACTTTGATACCTTATATTTAACTTATACTTGATTAATCAGGACGAAAAATTTTGTTTCAAGGCACAAATTGTAGACTAGGATCCGCCATTTTAATTTATATAATATTTATTATTAGATATTTATATAATACCTTATGACACTCACGTCGTCAGGAGAAATCTAACGACGTATGAATCATCAAAATTGGTTAAGCCATTTAGCAATTACAGGTCAAAAACACCTTCTTTAGGCTTCGCCGCACTCAGGTAAAAAGAGACATTACGTTTTATCTATTATGATTTGTTTTTTTTTTCAGAAACAATGGCGAGAGCTAAAAGTTCCTGAACCAACAATGAATCACCAGATCGATCCAGCAAAAAGTAGATAGCAAAAACAAAATATTTTATACTGTAAATAGCTCTTTGGACTTAGTGCCATACGGGAGAAGCAGGGTGAAAAAGTACAATAGATAAAAAACTTAGTGGTGAATTCATTATTACTGTTTATTTTATAAAAGATTGAAAAAATAATTTATTATATTTATTAGTTTGAATATGTATAATTTTTCAAAAATTTCAAAAGACGTAGTTTTAGCGTACTTTATACATAAATTATAATAAAAAAAAACACGAAAAAAACCAAATGAAGATACACTGAAGTTTTTTTTTAAAATAAATAAGCACAAATCATAACTGAAATGTAGCATTTAACAAATGTGATACGATATAAAAATTAATAAGCTCAATTTATGCTTGCCTTTAGTACTTATGTACGAAATTTGTGATTTTATTAAACTTACTATATTTATTTACTTATTTATAAGTCGGTATTGAAATTGTATTTCAATATAATTCCTCATATTGAGACACTTATGGATCTTGTGACATTAGGTTTATGTTCTGTGTATTCTTGATTGGGTTCCGGTACGCCTAATTCCTTCCAATCTTTCTGTAAATTAAAAAATTTAGTAAGAGATCTATTTGACTTTTGTACACTTAGAAACTTTGTACACTTATACTGTGATATAGAGCAGGGGTGAACAATGGACCATGGATCATCATATTTATAGAGCCCACTTTTATTACCTATTAATGTTGGGTAATCAAAGTAATGTGGTTTATAAGAAATTTCATATTAAATTAAAATGCACCTAATATTTTATTATGTAGAGTATAATATCAATTATAGATATTTTTCATTCAATACCTTCCTTATTAAGTATTCAAAATATGCTATTAACTGTTCTAAACAAAATATTAAAGACCCCGCTTGAAACGAATGCCGACCTCTGGCCTAGAATATGATGTAACTGAGAGTTTTGTTTGAAGTCAATGAAAACCTGAATGAATTGAATCTATTTGGATGGGTGACGGTTACTAACATAAAATTTAAATTATTGACAGAAACAGTTAACAATGTAAAAGACCATTGTAAAGCAATCTGTGACCCTAGAGGACAATATTCCGTCATAAGCGACTAAAACAAATACAGTAAATACTAATCCTAAATGCATTTTTATGCTATAAATAGACTGAATAAGATATAAAATGATACTTAAGGTACTAGGTATTAAATGATACTTTACCAATATTTCGCTGTCCGGCACCCTAGAGAGGAAATCTATCAAATCATTATTTAGTACTCTGTCTGGATTTAAGTATTTTCTCGTGAATTTATACACTCCTGTAACAATATTATTAAATAAACATATTTTTATATTACTACTCTCTTATTTTAATATACCCCTAAAAGGTTTTTTATTACTGTTTTAAAAAAAAAGTAAAATTAAGTTAGTTAAAATAACACTTACCTAAGCCCATTAAAAGGTAATTAAAGGGAATTAAATACAAAACCGCAGAGGCCACGATTAAAATTATCATGGATACGTAACTCAGGAACGGCACTTTAAATGTTATTAAACTGAAAACAAAAAATACGTGTGTATGTATTGCACATAGTTATTATTGACTATGAGGAAGAATAACAACAAATCTATCCCACGGGAACCATACATTTTTCCGAAATAAAAAGTAGCCTCTATGTTATTCTGACGTATCAGCTATATTATTGGAAAATTTCATTAAAATCCATTCAGTAGTTGGTGCGTAAAAGAGTAAAAAACATCCAGACGTTCACACATCCTCACAAACTTTCGCATTAATTTATAATATTAGCAGGATTAGATAGATATTACTTAAATATTTGTATTCTTTGTTATAATTGAGACTATATTAGAAAATTTTACAATTTCTGGGGTATAAAATAATTCCTATATATTTTAATGAAGTTTTATTAAGGTAAAAGTTTTTTGTGTAGAAATTTTATTGGCTAAATAAATTAAATCGAGTAGGTGCATACTTTTTCGTACATTATAATTTTTAACTGACCGACTACGTACATTTATTATATAAAAAAAGAATAATGTAATAAATATAAACAATATAATGATTAATTACCTCTGAAGCCTTTCTATGTATGATACCATAAATTCTATTCCATTTTTAATTGTAAATGTCATTATTTTAAGGTCATGTATTTTTCCGCTGAATGATTTTTCATCCTGAAAATAAATGAGAAAAACATGATTGAAGATGTACTTACAAAAAAATCTAAATAACTAGTACTAATATGCATTACTGTGTTGTAATCGATGTGTAAAAACATTACAAAATTATATAATAATTAAAATATGTATATGTAAAGAATATCTGTACATTCGGGTACGCGATCCCGGCCTCTTCGAGCTGCTGCAGTCTCAGTCCCGTTCCCCACCCGAGACCTGCGGTATCCCCCTACCCTAGCTTCTTCCCCCTACCCATCTTTTTTTCCTATCCCAATATACCTTGTTCCTTTTTCCCGTCTTAAAACGATAATATTCCCGACGAGGAGAGTTGGCGTCAGGCAAGCGGCCGGCTTAAAAAAAATCGGCCAAAACCTCAAAGCAATACGAGAGGTATAAAAAGTCATATTGCATCGACCCCAAATAAAATTGGGACAAGGGTAGGAAGAAGGGGAAGAATTATACTATATGTAAAGAAAAATTTACAATTACAACCTTTAGATGATTGTAGTTTTGATGGTTTATATTTATGATTAAATCATGTGTAAGCCAACTAACACATTTGGATAAAACTAATTAATTAGCACACTCAAAAACAATGGGTAATTTCACCTTATTGTGAGAAACTCGAAGAAAAACGATGTCATAAGGAAAGAAAAATACATTTTTACATAGACAAAGCAGCAAAAACTAGTAAACATGCATTTTTTTTCTTAATATGTCAAGTATTTATTATTATAATTTTATAAAGCACGTATGCAAAGTAGATTTTCGATTAAATGTAGCTAACAAACTTTGAGAGCCAAACGATCGAATTTAAACGAATCGTTACGATTAAGCTGAGTAGATGCACAGAAATTCAATTACACTGAACTTCGACGGACGACACTAAAACTCAATTAATGGCGTAACGAGCGGGATAAAACGGTTTTATCCCGTACCATAATAAATTATCTATACTATAATATTATAAAGAGGTAAAGTTTGTGATCTTGTGAGTTTGTGAGTTTGTGACGTTGTAGGGGGTAATTAATCTCTGGATCTACTGAACCGATTTTCAAAATTCTTTTACCAATAGAAAGCCACGTTCTTTCTGAGTGTCATAGGCTATATATTAACCCGAAGAAAGAAAAGGCTTTTTCGTGGTAATCGGATTTGCAAAGTAAGTCGGAGAAAAAACGGTCGAACGAAAACGTTTCTTACGAACGCTGCCTTAACGATGAGAGATATATGATTATGTTCTAGAGAAAAGTTGTAGAGCTTAATAATGCCTACAAAAAAGTTAGCGACAGCATATGTCTTACTTTTATATTTAAGCCACAAAAAGTAGTTTTTTTTTTATATTAAAAAAAAAAATTTAAATCGGTAGGTCATATTTATTGGTCATATTATCAACAATTATGAATTCTTATCAAAATAAGTAAATTTATCGTCTAAAATGCTTAAATCAAAAGACTTTTCCCTTTTACTGCATATAATTTGGACAAATGGTTAAAGAGATAATACAACATATTCGTAGGTATGGACGAACCCGAGCGAGCTGTTTGTCTGTTTTTCTGTTTGTACGGGCTAATCTCCGAATCTATTGGACCGATTTAAATGAAATTTTGCATGGTGGTACTTTATATCCCCGGGCAATATCTAAGATAATTTTCATTCCAGAAAATTAAACAGTCTCCGTGGGATAATCAAAAAACTATAGTAACTTATACATACAGCTTAGGACACAACAACTTACGCACCTAATTTAGTAAAATTTGGCATGCTGATACCTTATATTGCCGGTCAAACAACAGGTTACTTTTCATCCCGGAAAAATGAACGGTTCCCGTGGGATAGATCTGTTTGTGCTTTTCTAGAGGTGAACCCGAGCGAAGCGAGGGTGATCCGCTAGTTATAAATATATTTTAATGCTTTTTAACGTCATATCACATGCTATTATACAATCATTTCTTTTTATTAGACAAATATGCATTTAAAAAACACAAAAAAGTGCTCTTTGATTGAAGAACAGACTACGTAAAACGAAAACAAAAAAGTTGCAAACAAGTTGATAAGAATATAATACTATGCAGTCAACTTTCGTCCTACACTAAATATGTTGGGACATTAATACACGGCACCATCTAGTTCCATGGTTACGAGGCTTGTGTTATAGATACCAGATAGTTGATGCACTACACATATATAACTTTAAATACATACATATTATAAATATAAACACCCATGACTGGAGTACAAACATTCGTGCTTATCACACAAATGAATGCCCCTAGCGGGACTTGAACCCGCGACCGCTGGCACAGCAAGTCGGGTCACTACAAACTGAGCCAAACGTGCCGTCAAAAAAAAATATAGGTATCTAATTTAGTCAGGATGTTCCATAATCATTGATATATAATCCTCATATGTAATAGTGTATATAAATAATGACGTACCTTAATATCCACTTCATTATTTGCACTGTCTAGTCTTTTATACGCAGTGTCTGGAAAAAATGTTATTCAGATTTTAGTGTATCACCTATAAGAGTAGATAATTAAATACGCATGTAATTACTAATACAGTAATATTATACTTATATTATGTTCGAATGTATTTAGTGTTTCTTCACGCTGTTCTCACATTCTAATGGATTTTAGGAAGATTCGAAATAGACTTTGTTTTAACTGACGTACTATTGTAGCGAAACGGTGAATTTTATTGATTATTATTAGTTACTAGCATTGCCCGCGGCTCCGCCCGCGTTCAGATGACCTATAACCAAATTCTTAAGTTTTACGTATTAGTATCCTCTTACATTGCAGTTTTTGTATTTTTTTTCT